CCACTACTACTTGGCGATCTTCCGAAACTATTTCGCCTTTTGCAGAAACTATTTGTTCGCATTCTTCAGAATCTATTTTGCAATATCCAGAAACTATGTTGCATCCTTCGTAAAATGTTTTTGCGATCTTCAGAAACTATTTTGCATTCTTCAGAATGTATTTAGAAACTCCACAGTGCATTCTTCCATATTACATGAATGGAGCGTGGCTAGGGGCTGCAGGGGTGCGGCTGGGTCGGGGGGTTAGGCGGGGGTGTGGGGTGGGCCTATTGACGTACCCTGTGACGGCTACGATACTTGTCTTGATACGTACATTATTATGATACATTCACAATCTAGCTGCCGTAGAACAGTATCCGAAGAGCACCATCTAGTTGCCGAAGATCACCTTTAGCTATCGAACAGAACCTTGACGTTTCAACACGGGCAGCATTTCTTTGCTCACATGGCTTGTTGAGTGCCAAGGACTACTTCTGGGCCTTTGAACAGCAAGGCGTTACCCCTGATATTGCAACGCGGCCTAGTTGAGACTGTGAAGACCGTGTTCAAATTGAACCAGGACCCAGGAAAATTTCCTGGCTGGCAGGAGGTTATTCATCAATAGCAGGTGTGCAAGCAGCATCACCAAACAAAAAGCTTGATTTCGAGCCCTGTGGATGGGTATTTGGGAGTACTTTGGACTATGATGTTAGAGATTCTTTTCAAAGAACCAGCTGCTGCAATGTGGATGAAGATCAAACATGATCAAACATCGTCGATGGTTGCTCGCAGGTGACGATGGGAAAGCCTTTTGGTAATGGAATGCCCCTGGCAGCGGTGGTTACCACAAAGGAGGTGTCGGACGCGTTCCACAATGGCCTGGTGCCTTGGCTGGCCAGTCTCGTGGGTGGTTTGTGGATGTGGCGATTGTTTGGTCTTTTGCTGTTGTGGCTGAGTGCTCATTTTGCAGGAACCTCCACAACAAATACACTTTCACCCTGGAGTTGGACACCTCTTTGCGCAAATAACTAGTAAACTAGTACTCGATGATGCAGCTCTGTAGTTCCAGGCTGTGTCACATGGACGATAGAAGCACGCGAAGGCCCCTTCATCTTCGTTCGAAGTGTATGTCTTGATCGCTTTGACTAAGGAGTACTTTAATACCTTCGGCGGCAATCCTGTTTGTTGTGCAGCGGGCTTGGCCGTCTTAGACACCTGTTTGCACACTCTCATATGATTGATTTTGGTGCAAGGACAGTGCGAAAGGCCCAGGCGTAGAGGGTGATTGCTGCTTTTGGACATCCTCTGCAACGGGATGGCGTTGGGCCACTCTGATTATTTCCTCCTTGTGCTCATAGTATCTGCGGGGAACGCCTTCGTAGAACCTTGGGAGTTCATGTGTTCTCTTTGTACCCTTCATGTTTATCCCCAGTCCCAGGTTTGTGTGTATGTTTGTGTTGGCGGGTTCTGTGGCCTCAGATTGACACAGACAACTTAATGGCAGCCTAGCCCATCTGAGGACATTATCCGTGAGGAGAAGTTGCAGGCGGGGTTAGCTTTTAGCATTGCTCCAGTTCCAAGATTGGCCCTCAGGTCCTAGGCGGCATGATGGTGGCATGTATATTCAGCTTTCAATCTCGTACCCGTACCCCATCAGCAAGCCTAACACCAGATACCTTTCCTGGCCACACCACCTGTACTTCGAGCAGAAAAGCTCTGAAAAGATGTCAGTATGTAGAGTCTGACTCAGTACGACATACTCAACGCACTGAAATCCCGGGATTCGTCCATATCTTCCCACGGATGGGCCACATTGCGGATATAGTAGCGATGCCCTTTGTGCTTGCTCCTATAGTAGTAAGGCCAGGAGCTACTAGTAGCTTCTTGTTACTGGTAGCGATGCCCTTTGTTCCTAGTAGCGTCCTCTAGCTACCAGTAGTAAGGCCGTTACTAGTTGCCAGGATGGACCACGGATCTTTCGGTGATTCTCTTCGTCGCCACCGAGGCCCACGCCGCCGAGGTGGGCGGCGTCCTGCGGCGAAGACTCGCGGAATTGGCCCAGCGACACCGCTGGATCGGTGACGTGCGAGGCCAAGGGCTGCCGGGGGCCCTATCATTGGAATGAGAATCAGATGCTTCGATGCTTTGGTGGGTTTTCCTCTTGAAAGAATTTTTGTGTCTTTCCTTGTTCCTTTCTTCTTGCCTTGGGTCTTGGACTTCGCTACTTGACAGTCGCTCACCTGGTTGAAATACATCGAACCTTGGTCCGATCATCCAAGCTTCCTGCAAGACTTTTTGACACCAGCGCCAGAAACGCGCCCCCTATTCTGAATCCCCACGAATTGAAATCATACCATGTTTGTGAATCACCAATGATCATCCCTAAGGGCACTTAACTCATCCCTATTGGCATTGACACAAGTACACGGTTCCGTAGTCAGGTTCATTGGCATCGAGTTTGTGCGTGATCGAGACACCTTGGAGCCGGCCACAGCAGAAACTTGGACTTCTGAGCCGATGCTAGTTCAGCGTAAAGACGTGACATCCGGCGTAAAGAGCATTTTAATTTCAATCTAGCTCCACAGGACAAATGATTTCAAGATCAAGCTTGGAAAGACCGGATGGATTGATGGACACCTGTGGCCAGGCACAGACCGATGCATATCTTCCTAACAACTTGAAGTATTCAAATCTCTTCCTTTTGGTGAATGGTCACCGATGGGCTTGGTCGGGCTTCGATGAAACCGGAAATTAAGTGTGTGTGTGTGTGTGCGGGCGCGTATTGCGTGTGCATGTGCATGTGCATATGCATGTGTGTGCGCGGGTGTGAGAGTGTGTGTGTGTCTCACTATTGGAAAATAATGAATCATCAAAGCATGAACGATGATTATTAGAATGTGAGTCATTGGTTAAGTATGCTGCCATTTAGCAGCCAACCAGCCAGCCGACTTGGAATCCTTTCACCTTGACAGAGATCAGGAAGGGAACAATGCATAAATTAGGGATTGGTTGGATCTTCTTTTGTTTTTGGCCGTGTTGGAAGTAGAAAGTTGTCCTTGATCAGGTCCAAATAGAAGGTGCATTCTGTCTTGCCCCAGTTCCAGTTCCTATCACTTGGATAGACCATCAAGGTGTAATGACATGGAATAGTCAATCACAGAAGTTATGAGTCTTGTACTAACAAGGAAGGTCCCAAGTTTCTGATGGATCCGATTCAGATTGCCAAGAGGAAACCTCCGATATTTGCTCTCGCATGAAAGATGAGCACAAGATGCTGGTCCTGATGGCAGCGGCGTGCATGCGTTCATCGTGAGTCGCTTCATCGTCACGGGGAAGAACCCCAATGCTCATTCTTTCCATGAAAGATAAAGGGAAATGACTTGAGGAAAAAAGGGTTCGATCATGTTCAAGGCATTTTAGCTCTTCAGACAAAGCCCAACCTTGTGCATGTGTGCAATTTCATTCAAGATAAGCCCGATAGAGCATCAATTATATACTGTATATAATTCAATGCACGGGGACCAGAACTCTGCCGGAAAACCACCATCCCAACCTGGCGGCCTGTTGTTCCGCAACAGGGAAACCACCTTGGTGGACAAACGTGCGGGCTGCTGCCATGGCTTTGTATATCATTAAACAATTGTCCAAGGCCAAGACTTGTGTTGTCCTGTTGTTCGTCAGGGCAACCCTGGGTTCAGTACTATTGCCACCATAAACACCAAAGGTGTTCTTCGAAGGTGGTTCACCCGAAAGGACCTCTTGCTATACCAGCTCACTCGGCTCAGAGGTCGGTTGAATTTGAATGGTTGTTGGTGTTGTGCATGCTGTACCAGGGTTTTACCAATCGTCCACAAGTCTTTTGAGCCAAGGATCCTCATGAGCATTGATGGCCCCCATGACAATGTGCTTGTCATGAAGCCGCCCATGTGCTTCTCCCAAGCGGATGCTGCGGCTCGGCAGAGTCCCAAGTTGGAGTTAGAAAAAAGTCACAGAACAAAGTCTGGTACAAGTTTTTCATATCACTGCATATTTGTGGCTATTGACAACATCTGCAGAACAAGGGACCGATGCACCCTCTATAAGACATAGAAAGCTAATGAAAGCTAGCTCTTGCCATATCTTGCTCTTCCTCCAGCTCTTCATCCACTGCAAAATCCCAGGAGTCGAATCAATACTGCTTCTTCAAGACCTGGAGGATTGATGTTTGATCCGAGGAATCCATGTTGAATGCGCTTGACTCGGTCTTGGCCACATTGCAGGAGCTGCAAAACCTCGATGCTTTTGGAGGGTTCCAGGACAAGTTAAGTTTTCCTAAACACCTAGGAACAAAAATGAACCAAAGCAACAATATGAGGGGTTCTTCAAGGGGGAGCTTCCTTGAAGAAAGCCTGAACAGAGAGTGCGGCCCAGCCTAGGTATATAGTATATAGCTACTTAAGCTGCCAGCTTCTTACCCCCTGCTTACAGCTCTTACTTGGTTACTCTCAAGCTGTCCTCACGCCCTACTCCGCCCCCTTCCGGCATTCAATCAAAAGAAATTGCCCAAACAGATCGTTTCGTTTGTGCCAACGAATCCAGTCATTCGTTTCTCAGGACCGACGAGGAAGCGCCATCACGCCCACGCCCACTTGAACGGTTGGTCCAAAGCTGGCCAAGAGCGGTCCAAAGGGCCGACATGGGTTTAAAGGCTTAGAAAAGGGGCGGAAATGTCAATCCAACTGTTACGAAGAAGAAGCACCACATATTTTGAACGCTCCATTCTTTCCGCAAATCTAGACTTGGGGAGTGTTCCGCTTTGCTTTGAGACAGACTATCAAATCCTATAAATATCAAGATTGGGCAGCCTTCCCCGCACCAAATCTGATCTGAGGATAACTCATGATTGCCTCTTGCTTGAGGAGATTCCTTGGCTACATGCATGTAAAGCTTGTGATAGCTAAAGACTTCTTGACTCCTCCAAATGCCAAATTGGGCAGACTCACTCAAGATGGACATGTGCCGTGAACATTGGCCGTGTGCAGGCTCGAGGCAAGGATTCTGCTGAAATTCCCCTGGAGGCCGGACATTGTGCCACTGATGGCCCCAATGTGATAATCTTCCAAGTTGACACGAGATCAATATAGATCAATAACATTTACTTATCCTCCGATAAAATTTGGCAGATCATCTTCCAAACATATTTATATATCCACCTCAGATCGACCTCAGATCGATGCGTGTAGATGCATCCTGCAGACACGACTGGTCATGACCGACGAGGGCACCGCCGAGGAGAAAGCCCCGATATCTTCGCTGGCGCCTAAGGGGTCTTTTGCAAGTTGGAATGATGCTGCTAGTAGCTTCTTGTTCCTAGTAGCGATGCCAGGAGCCCCTAGTAGCTTCTTTGCTCCTAGCAGTAGGGCCAGGAGCCCCTAGTAGTTTCTTGTTCCTAGTAGCGCTTCTGTCAACGTTTTGACCATTCCATATTGCATACGTACAAGTGGCACTTCAAAGTGCTTGGAGCTCCTGCTCTGGAGCAACAGCTTGACCTCGTTCTAGATATATAATTGTGCTGAACATGGTGCTTGCTTTAAAGGACAATGACCGCATGCCTTCCCATGTTACTTGGATACAGCCCCAGTATCCCGCAGTAAAGTTTTATTGGAGAACTAGTTAGAGAGCCACAATGTTGCGAGCGATTGAATCCGCGGCCAGCACCAGCCAGGTTCGACCGCCCAGAAGCTGAGATGACCATGGTTCAGGCGATGCCAAACCGACATGCTCTTTCCATTTCATCGACCCGATGTTGTTTCTCTACTCGGGTCAACATGTGATCAGTTGCTGGGGCAAATGTCTTGCAGCTGGGTGCACAATGCACTAGGCAGGTCTTCGTTTCCCAAAAAAAAACATTTTAGATTTGGAGCTGGAACTTGCTTCCTTCGTGAAGTCTGTCATCAAACTTTGTGTGCTCTCGTAAGGTGTTGGTGGCCGGTGAAGTGGAGCCAGTGTCCTTGATGAATATTGAGCCAGATTGCACTCTCATTGGAAGACATGTCCGTTTCGGCAAGGAAGTGCTGGAAGTCACGATTTCATCCGATGTCTCAGATCGGACAATCTATATAGTTGTTGAATGACAGAGAGGGGGCATACCAATTGAGGGCTCCACTTTGCTTTGGGACATTTTGGGACCATATTCAATTGATAGAGACCTATTGTTTCTCTATTCGTAAGGGATTTTGCTCTGTAAGGCCTTACAGGGCGAATCCAACGTGCTGGCTAAGGAGACGCTACCCAGCTTCCGTGTCCACATTCTCCCTGAACACGTAGGCATTTGACCAGGCGCCGGGTCGTCCAAAACGCTGCAGGGTTCCGATGTGTCTGTGTGTGTGTGTCCACCCCTGGACAAAGGGTTTTCCACCGCTCAATCGCAGGGGGATGGAGAGGACATGTGAGGCTCCATCCAACGAAGCTCCTCACATGATCCTAGGATATCGGCAAGGACGCTTGCCGACGTACCTGCACCGGAAACTGTTGCTCACGCTGTCCAATCTTTTTTTGTTTCCATGGTGATTCATGATACCTCCCACAAACCTACTCTTCCCCAGCAGCTGCGCCGCCGGTTTGATCGTTTTGCCACCGCTTTGAACGCATGAGTGCCTGTGTCAACAATGTTGAACAATACTTTTCAGCGGACTCTTTCGCCTTGCCGTTCCACCACCTTCCTTCCCAACGTGGGAACTGAGTGTAACTGAATACAATTGTCAGAGTGTGTGTGTGTGTGTTTGAGATATGATAAGATTGCACAGCTAGCATATCAAGATACATCAAGTAGTATATCAAGTATAACAGAGTATAAACGCAAGTTCTGGAGGGAAAAGTACATCGGTGTGTTCCAATAACAACTTGTTGATGACAAACATGTTGATGAGATAAATCCATGGCAAAGAAGTTGCTGGACTTGAGGAACTGCGCGCAACTTGCCTCGTGTCTCGCTCCTTTCCAACTCTCAGGTAGCGCATCCAAAGAGCTGCTCCAACATGGAGGCTGCTTCAGCTTGGTCGAGCAAGATTTTACTTAGAAAAAACCCTTGTGTTGGCAGCTTGCTCCAGACATGTGGTAACTTTATTGGACCAATGCGTAGCAAGACTGGTTTGGGGAGATCCCCAGACCGCCGTGACGCTCCAAGAGACACGGCCCAAAATGCGTGGCGGCCATGGTCGTCCAAAGATCGCAATCAAGTTTTAAGCGAGCACATTGGCTGTGGCCAAGCTAAGGCATTGGACACAACACCAATGTCAAGTTCCTATGATGTCGTTTAACTACGCCAAAGATCGCTAAAGTAGACATTGGAACTGTACATTAGGAGAAGAAAAGAAGAGGATGGAGGCTGGTGTGCTCATCTGTAGTTCGTGTATATGCCTAGACGTTTTTCGGTGCAGATGGTTATTTGTCTGCTGCTTGCCGCTAAATTGGGCAGTGCAGTGGAGTGCATTCTCGTGGCCTCATGGGCTGGCAGATGATATCATGTTTCCCGTTTGAACACCAAACTATGCAATTGATCATAGTTGTTCCAAACTCCAAAGTCACCCTTTGGCCGCAGCAGTGGGCCATGATGGCCCACCTTGAGATGTTTGCTGCAAATGTCTAGGCAATTTCAAATTCGGATCCCTGCTCAACTGCACGCTGCTTCTTTAGGGCCTTTAGGGGGTATGATGCTCATGGAAGTGTGCATTGGCACGATCCTCCTTTTTTGGTTGAGATACTGATTTGTGCTGTCAGATGTTGTCTGACAAAGTATACCACTTGGGGAAAGTTGTTTGTTGCAGAAATCATTCCTTTTTTGCAAAGCACAAGGGGTTTCATGGGGATGAAAGACTCTGCTCATGTTTTTTCATTGTTTCTGCCTTGAACCCTGCTTTTGGCTTGGGGATAATGAATGTGGGGAATGTTTTTTCTTGTTCAATCGTTAGGAACCCTGCATTTATCTTGGGTGACGAGAATCAATGTCATACTTTCTGACTTCGATGTTTAGATGGGCAGACAGGTCACGGGTATAAGTTATGCATAGCAAAGCCTGAGAGCCTTTGCCTAGATTCAGATGAGATTGAATGTCCAACGTCCACCACATACTTACATCAGCAAGCTGGTGATAGTATCCGAGGCTAGATTCATTCGCAAGGGTGGGGGATGACAGATCCGACAGAATCAGAACGATTTGCAAAGAAGCAAGCTGTGCGGTGAAAAGCAGTGGTTGTCAATTCAACCGACAGAGCGCTTCATTGGACGTTGTGGCTCGTTCAAGGCGTTCAAGGAGTTCGTACTGTCCTTTTGTAGGAATGGACCCTGAAAGTATGAACCCACAGGAACATATTGTTAACATATGGAAAGGACATGAAAGGACATTTTGCAGTTTTGTTTGTTGAGGGGAAGATGTGGGGTTGTCCAAGTGAAACTACATGTCAGACTCACAATCTAGGACAAGGTCGCGCAAGAATCTAAGACACATCTACCAAGAGGCTATACTTGTGTGTCAACTTGTGTGTCGTAGATTCCCCCACTGCAAGCAGTACTGCTGAAGAAGTGACATGCGGCATCTCAAAGTATATCATCAGTATGATCAGCAAATGGCGTGCTTCTATTATTGGCCGCCGTGACTATAGAATAGATTTCGGGCGAACCGACTTGGAGCCATGAAGACTATGACATCTAAAAGCTGGAGGAGCAGGGGAAGCTAGTGAAACTGGCAGTATTCATTTCATCGACATGTTTTGACCTTGATGCTGCATGCCAGCTATTCAGTCACAAAATAGGAGCCACCTGTACCAATCACACGACAAGAGTTGCAAGCCCCCCATGAGTCCATTAGTGACTACGATTGGTCAACAGCTACTTGTCCTTTGACTCCTCATGATGCACGGCAAGGCCAAACCAGGCTGGAAGCTGAAGAACAGCTGGAAAAGGGTTTGGGAAAGGGTGCAGGGTCAAGTTAAGGAAATAGAACTTCCGGGCAAGGAGACAACTGCTATTTGATGTTTGCCTTGATTGCATTTGCACTACCCCATGGATTTGACCATTCTTGATCCTCAGTTACTTTGACATGTAAGTGGGGATCAAAGAGTTGGAGCCGGAAAACAACGTGTGGGCGGTCACCCCAGCATCGACAGGACCATTTCCAAGCCCGAAGCCAGAGTGAGGGTAAAGAGGGCTCCTGAGGCAAAGGAAGTCGCCTTTTTTTTCCTTTGGATTCATGAGCCCTGCAAGCCAGGTTAACGGTTGAGTTGCTGTTGTTCATCTGCAGCCATTGGCACCTATGCGGACAAATCAATCATCAGCAAGCTTTGTCCACGAGATTAGACAAGCAAAAGGAAGATGTGAAACAGGGCGGTCGATCAGAAGATCATGGAAGATCAATTGATGCGTCTGAACCACGTTATTGAGTGGTGGACTCGGCATGCGAGCCATTTGGTGCAGATGGCAGAGTGGCACTCAATTGGACCAATGAGACATCATGAGACCAATGGCGTGTGCTCTTGAGACTGATTCATGTTGTTTCCGCGTTCATGCGGTGTTCGGCACAGCAAATTCAATCATTGGGCCTCATTGGGCTAACATGCTGTGCCGGCCGACAGCGTCAGAAAACCTCTTCGTTTTGGAGTGTGTTGGGCCTTGTGGCCTGCGGCAGTGATGGCAGAGGGAACCTCAAAATGTCTGCCCTGATGACTTGGCAGGCAGGGTCCGCAGGGTGTGTGGTGTTGGCTTACAAGAGAGTCATGAGTCATGAGGTTCAACTAATTACACTTCCAGGGAGGGCATGAACAACTTGGTAGATGATCTTCTTTGTGAGTTATCCATGGTCATGACCATGCGGAAGTTCGCTGCATGGCAGATCCGCGTGTTCCGCATGCATACTGGGAAATCCAAATTATCTATGTTTGTGTGCAATTGATTTGAACAAGCACTTTTTCTTGCACTCTCTCTCTCTCTCTCATTATGCGTATGTCGCTATTAAAGATACAATCGATTACAATCGTAATACATCGTAATTGTATGACAATATAGATGGGGCACATGTTGGACAAATGTCGACATGCTGTGCGCTCAGTCGAACGGTAGAGGAAGTCCTCATCAACCCTGGCGTGTCTTCCAAAGGGGGCACCTGGCACGTGGCACCTGGCTTCGTTTGAAGGTATGTCGAAGAAGGTGAAGCTCGGGGCTCCTGAAGAGATCTTCGACTTGCCGGGCAACAAGGCGGAGACAAATGCTGTGGACGTGCAGATGAGACATTTGCTGTTCTTGTGGCAGCCCAAATGTGTGGTGGCGCTTGGAAAGTGTGAGTGTTTCGATGTGTAATTGACGGGGCCCCAGGTAGGCCACTGTTCTGCTCCAAAGGGGGAAAGCTGGGATCGCGCGCTTTTGTTGGAACCTGGAAACAGCGCCCCGGTGTCGATGCAAGGAATGCGCAGATTGCACCGCCTATGGGCCGAACTGGGCCTCGTGGAAGCTCAGGTTGCACTAGGTGGTGGAGGCAGTGTAGAGGAAAGAAGAAAACCAACATGTCGTGGACATCAACATGGTATGTATGTTTGGTATCTTTTGGTACGGGGTATGTACCTTTAGCTGTAGCCTTTGGATGCCTTTGGTATGCACCTGGTTCCAACCATAGGATGCCCACGGGAAGGAAGGAGCTGTGCACTTTTGACATTGAGAAGGGCTTTCACTTCCGGGTTCAGCACTTCTGCTCCCCTTGTTGGACCTGATTCGCCGCTTCAAATGTGCAGATGTACACTTTTGGCCGGAGGTGGAGTCCGTTAGTTGACCAGAATCTCAACTGCCCCATGTCCTCCTGCATCCGAAGAATGCATTGTTGTACAAAAGTCGATCTTTCTTGGCCACCTCTTCCACCTGTTGCAAACCTGACTCATTGAAGGTCCTTTTCATGCACTGTACTTTCCATAGGAATCTCAATCTGCTCATATATAACCGTTGAAAGGCTGATGTCATTTTCAACACAAAGTTGATTCTTGGTGTGGAATAGAACCACCTACCTAGTGTACGTGTAGTTCCAGCTTCTGCTCAAAGGGCCTGAGGCTTCCTCACTTTTTTGTTGAGTCTCTTTGAAGAGCCCAATTGGATTGGAGCCTATGTTGGGTTGAAGATACAAGGAAGCCTCAGCCCATTGAAGCGTGTAGGAAAATTACAGTCCCCTGGCCTCAGGATTAGAATATTCCAACCATTGGTCCAACCATTCAGCCTTCAGCCAGGTCTTTCAAAGGTGGAAGAGGGTTGACATCAGTGGCCTTCATAAGGGAGGCCGGACGCTCCGTTATCTAGCCACGCCTTCCCTCACGAGCCGACCACTTGCCGCTGCAATTTGTGCGATCCAAAAATATGTGGTCAACACTTGCGCGCTTGCTGGGGTTTGCACTGGAGAAGCTGCTAACCTGTTGGGAGCATCCTCTCCAGAACTTGGCTGCATTTGATGGCTTGTTCATGACGCGCTCCAGCCAAGGAACCTGGGCATTCTCATTTGCGAGACATGTCCCTCAGCATGATTTAAGGGTATGGGCACTGGCCGGGGAAGCCGCAAGGGTGGCCTGGACCAAGCGAGGACAACTCCATGTGTTGATACCGGAGAGGATGAGCTGTATAAACTTTCACTGCAGGGTTGCGAGCGGGTTAGTGGGGATGCTGAATGGATATTCCCTTGACCTGTATTGAGATCTGCATGTGGTGACTCAGGCGCCGGAATGCACCGAAACCTCGGGACGCACATTTCGAAGGCGAACGGACCGTGAGTCGGGAGCGGTGTAGGGAGGTCAAAGGTGGGGAATCTACCGGGGGAGGATTTTTGCTGGAGAGGAAAGTCTTCAGAATATTTTGTGTGTGTGTGTGTGGTTTTACTTTTTTTACATGTTATTCATCTTTAGTTATATATATACTCTTTGTAGTACTCTTTGTCTATGTCGGAGTCAAACATGTTGCGGCTGTGTTGCCGAACCTTGCCCAAGACACCCAGCCAAATCAGTCTAAGAATGATTCATTCTATCCCAAGTTATATCGTTGCACTTGTGCAGCTACTAGGGGCTCCTGGCATCGCTACTAGGAGTAAGGACGCTACTAGGGGCTCCTGGCCGTACTACCAGGAGCAAGGATGCTACTAGCACCTCGTTGCACGACTGTGCAGCTTCATGGTCCCAGTTTCGGGACTAGAATCTTCGAAGAGCTGAAAAGCGCTGGGTTAGACACCGTGAGGCAACTGCTGGGTTATAATAGGTTGCACATCACGAGCGCTGGTTCCTTAAGTCTGGCCCCCGGCACCTAGGATACTGTATATATTGGGAAAAATATAGAACAAATATATTATCGTGCATGCATGTCGAATATGTCGATGCGTGCAGGAAGACTCAATGTGTCATAATGTGTCCAACACAATGCATCCCTTGTTCGCAATGACACCCAGTTTAGCCAGCAGTAGTAGTCAAGAGGTTCCGGGCCATTGTGCTAGAAGTGGAGGTGTGTTATGTTATGTTATGTTTGTTTTCTGGTATCGCACAGACTTGTTGGGTTTTGAGGGGGCCTGAAAACCACCAGGCAGCCACAAATCCAGTTGAACAGAGTGTTTCTACTCCTCTTCGTCCTTCCTACGACTCCTGCAGACCAGGTGAAATCGACCACCATGGACAAGTGGAACGAGGAACAGGCAAGACTCGCTCAGCGAACAGACATGCTCGCCCGTTCTGCAATTTCTCCATAAGGACCAGGTCGTGGCTTATGGCTTATGCTCAAGCATTTGCATGCTTTCTCAGAGCAGTGAAAAGCGGAACCAAGCGGCGTACACTTTGGGGCTGATTGAACTGCATGAGGCGGTCCCCTGCCGCAACATCGGGAACTTCATGTCCAATAGCTTCTACGAGCGCCCGTTGAGCGCTTTTGTTGGGAGGAGACCCAGTCGAAGAGGCGATACCACAAGACCTTGTTCTAAGGTTCAATGTTCTTAAATCTTGGAAATCAAGCTGTAGTCAGCGAGACCCAGACAAATGATGTAATTTCACTCACACAGAAGAACCCCTACAACAACAAGACAAACAGCTTCTGTTTGGAGGGGAACCGTGAGAGCCAGTCCGGAAAGTTGCAGAATCAACCCTGGTGCGGCTGGTGAGTGCTGTCACATTTGCTCCTTGTAGATTTGCTGCGGTTGTTGCAGACTAAGAGAGGTTTTTCAAAAGCTGGTTTGGAATGATCCACGAGCCTCTATGGGGTCGATTTTCGAAAGTGGTTTTTGGTGGATGTGACGCCTCGTGTGGAGCTTGCATGTGGAGTACAACCGCCGAGCACCAAACTCACTCAGAGGTACAACCTGCCGCCCAAGACCAAATACGTTACGAGCGTGAAGAGCTCGGGAGGCGGTGACCTAACGGACCTGCAGAAAAGACTTCTGAACAGAGGTGATCTTCAGAACTGCGTACATCTGAGTGGGGCTGAACTGGCACGTTTCCCAAGCTGTCAATGCAACAATTCTTTTTTAGGCAGTGCAACAACTGGTATGAAACCATGGGGCTGCGTGGTAGATAGGTAACTTGGAACCTGAAAGGTTAAGGTGCAAGACCATCAGAGGTACTTTCGCATCATTCTTGCATCCTACCACAAGGCCAGCATTCCTAAAGCAGAACAGCGACGCCCTCCATGAGCCGGCGAAAACCCATCGATGCCCCTGGCTTCGGAAGGCGACAAGATTGACACGGGAGAGGCTCGAAAGCTGGAACGATGGATCCGCCAGGGAACCTGGACCAGGTCGTTTCAGACAGACAGGAAAGCAGACAGTCGAAACCTGGACCTTCTTGAGAATGCCGGAATGTTGCTGTCACCATGAAAGAGGTGGACTCGAATGGTTCCATACTTGGCCGGCCCGAGGTGCCAAATATGAGGCCAAGAAGTACTCGCAGCCTGGTGTCGATCCTCCGCACGTCCGTTTGGCTCGAGGATTTGCTGGGGGCTTTTTGAGAGGTTGTGGGTTGGTTGGCTTCCCTGAACCTCTTTGTCAGTGGAGGTACTCAAAGCAAAGGCTGCCACTCCCTCATTACTCATCCAGCCATGGGAGAGGTTTTCAACCTTGTAGGTGGGAATAGGCAAGGCGAGCCTCCTTTGTGCTACCGCATTCCTGCACATTCCTGTCCATTCCATGGCCTTTATTGCCAACTGCATACATTCCATACGTTGCAGGAGAATCTCTTCGTGAAGCTCCAAAGGAGGCATGCAGTGTGGCCAGCAGAGGGCCAGGGTTGAAACCGCAGTGCTCTTCGAACTTCCAACCGATGAACAAGCTGATGAAAGTTGCTGTTGGGTGACGGCAGAGCTGCGACTCTTGTAGTAGTATCTTGTGGCTGAGCAAGTCTAAGGTATATTAAATATACTATATATATATATTTCACCAGTCTGAGAGGGCACAACAGTTCAGTAAATCTCTTTGCACACCAAAGTTGTGTTAGAATCTTTCAATATTTTTCAGCAAAACATTTGCAAAAGCAGGCTAGGAAAGGCCACAAGAAAATATAGTTGCTATAAAATGCTATAACAGTATGTAATAAGGACAGATTTGATACGTGCAATGAGCAAGGTCAGATTCTGTGGCAGTTCTACTCCCCAGGAGAAGCCAGTTGAGGAAAAGAGTGCTTCGAAGAAAGACAAAGAGAAGAAGGAAAAGACTGACAAAGGCGACAAAAGCCCTTCAAAAAAGGATGGGAAAGAGAAGAAGGAAAAGGTTAGCAAGAAGGAGAAGAAGGATTTGGTTAGGGCCTCAGGCACTGAATGTGGGACTTTGGCTTTCCAGGTCCTTCCCTGACCACTGAGACTGATACTAGAAGCATGAGAGCACACTGCTGTGCAAGGTGTTTTGTGTGGCCGTCTGCAATGACTCACACGTTTGGATGCGTACCATGTCAATGTGACATCCATTTGATTTTACTGATTTTACTCTGCATGTCTTATCATGGCTTGAAAAGGCAAAATTACGTAAAATGTGAGGAGCCCTTCGTACACCGTCAGATCCTAGTGAGTGACGGGAATGTCCAGCAATCAGAGTCGTTCTTGTTCGAAGATGTGTGTGGACCTTCGCCAGCCCAAGCTGAGGACAGAGAGGTCACACCTGCTCCAGCGGTCAAGGCACTCATAGGGTGCCGCCTGTGGAAATCGCTACCCGCGTTTACCTGGCAAAGATGAATACGTGAGATGAACATTAATGAGCTGTGTCTTGCTTGGGGAGCCTATGGCTTGTTGGTTGCTGTTACTTCAGTGAAACAGCTGCAAGCGGGCAGCTTGTGCACGACGTTGCTGTCCGACACATGATCCCTCCCATGCCCATGTATGGCCTTCAGGAGGTAAAGAGAAGCAGGAAAGAGAAGAAAGAGAAGAAATCTCAAGGCTGCGGTTACTGCTGACCCTACTGCTGACCCTACTGGCGTGGTGGCAGTCACTACACTAAGATTTTGTCGTGTTTGTCATTCATGTCTTCCAAGCCGACGGCTGTTAAGGAACTTCTTTGGGGGGATTACACAACAGGAGGCAGAACATCACACCCCTATGCGGCCCAAGCAATCATTTATGCCAAATGGAAACACTCTGACACCTACAGTACCAGATTCAGAGAGCATCAACGGGATGTCAGGGATGTAGTAGTATGATGCAGTGAGGTAGATTACCCCGCAAAGGTAGAGATCTCTGAGAGTGTCCTGATGTTCTTGCTTGTGCTTCCCTGGTGGTCTGTGAGTATTTGGTTTCTAAGAAAATAACACTTTCGAGGTTGGAAAAATCACACTTGCATACTTGGAAGCTCCTCAGGGTTTGACTAGTCTGTGCCTTTGCGCGAATCAGAACTCGAGAGCTCCTTCGCAGAGCTGGAGACTTGGGCCATGACGAGTTCGAAGGACCAAGCGATGCCCGAAACGCACTCGTAGCCCGCTGGTGTTGCCAAAGCCTATAGTTCCCACTTCATGAGGAGATCGGAGATCAGAGACAAAGGCTTTTGTCAAGTACTGCCCCTCTTTACAGAACACAAAGGTTGTATGTCAGAGAAAAGTGTAGCCCCGCTCATCGGAACAGTGGTCACCCATCGAAATGATTGGTTCCCCCTGGTTCCCCATGATGTGACGACTTGACTTGTTTTAACCCACCTGTTGACATGGATGGATGCAGAAGAGCATGTTGTTGAGGCTTATCCTTTCCAGCCTCAACGCACAGGTTGAAATTGGTTCTCCTGTCTCCACGATTGAAACAATATGCCAAGACAATAGCGTGGACTTGACAGCTTAATCTTGGAATTATTTTGCGTACTATTAGTATAATGGCATTCATCAGATGCAATTCTTCTGTCTTGTTTCCGTTGGAGGCCTATCCTCCGCCCTTTCTCAGGAGAAGAAGAGTCGCAAGAAGAAAAAGAAAGATGAGGCCGGCGAGAGGCACACATCAGACATGGCATGACATGGGGGTGCTCGCATCATCGAATCTGTGAATAGTATGGCTATTCTGTTTGTTTCTGGATGCTCAACTGCGGTTACATGGTTCAATTGTGTCTACCCTCCACTCATACCCATCACGAACTTCATAGCTGGGGCTTGACCCCCTGGTTTTTGAGTCTTCTATTCCAAGTGGACTGCCTTTGGTCTCACAGTGCTGACAGCCAGGCCTGGGATGGAGGCCGACAGATCCACACACGCACATGCTTGGAATATTTTTGGACGTGTTTTCGAATGAAGCTAGGTGAAGTCTAAGAGATATCAAAGAAGTGCAAACCTTGCAGTAACAAGGGCATCGCTACTAGGAGCAAGGACGCTACTAGTAGCTCCTGGCCTTACTACTAGGAACAAAAAGCTACTAGTAGCAAGGACTTAGCAAGGACGTGTTCACTTTGATCTTGGTCGCTTTCGGAGTTGTTCACCCAGCACCAGCAGACGCAGGATCTCCATGGTCGGACATGTCGCCGTCCTGGGACCCTTCACCCAGCTCTGACTTCACAGCCCAGGACGGTGGGAAGTTGGAGGGTACGCATTTTGGAGCTGTAATAACTGTTCAAGGGGACTCATGTGGTGCACAGCTCGTTAAAGAGCTTGGAGATTTGACTGGAAAGCATCCAAGGATCCTTGATGAAGTGTCCTCACAAAAAGACCTGCTTGACTAGTCCTTGGCATTTCTGCTTCTCTTGAAAACAAAGGCTATTTGGCAGGTTCCAACCAGGAGCCTTTCTAAGATCTCAAGAATCAGCAGCTTTGTGGGGAAATAAATAGACCACGGCCATTCCATTTCGGAGTGTCTCCAGTTTCGCGATCCGTTTTTGCAGAACCAGTTTTTCTGGAAAACCGCTGGGCATTTCAGCTTGCTCCCCATTTCCATCATTTCTATATATATATATATAGTGGGCCTAGTTCAGCTCCGACAAGTTGCAACTCCAAGTCTCAGATCCACTTCCGCTGCCAAGCTGGTCACCCGCTACTCGCACAAAGCACAGGACAGCTTCCATGTCGGCAGTCAGATGGAGAACTATGGCCGTGGCCTGGTGCAGAATTGGGCCTGGTGCAGAAAACACATCACTCACTACAGACATGGTATTGGCCCATCTGATGTCGAGGTCACTACCCGGTTGTTCCTACCAGCCCTGAGATGCACTTGGGTGCTCCCATGCCGGGGCCCTCAGTGGCCATTTTCCAGCATGGCACCACAGTGCTCGTTGTCGCTTCATGCTTGCTTGAAGAGCAATTGGAAGAGAGTGTATGGTCCTGAACCCCCCCATGCTGGTTGACCCCTGCGGCTCTAGTTGGTAAGTTACCAACACCATTTTGATGAGAATTGCCAGAATTGCATACAAATCAACACACTTTCACCCACTTCTTTGCGGACGGACTTCTCTCAATAGAACAATCCTGTCGAGGTACACCTCTTCTGGCGGAGGTGCATTCGCACAAAGACACCTTAGCTGCTTTGTTCGATGACTTCTATTTCAGAACTCAAGAGATTGCCTCAGTGCTCAATGTGTGTCCTCCAGGGCCTGTCATGACCTCCCTCCAAAGTCGCCACCAGCTCGTGCAGGATTTGCTGTCGAGCCGAGGCAGGGCCGCCCTGTTTCGGCACCAAAGGGTTCAACTGCACTTGAACATTTCGTGGGCTCCCTGTTACGTGTTGGCTTTAGACGGACTGCAATGAGTGGCTGCATTACCGACCATGCAGTTGAACAGAGGATGCTCAGGAACGGAATCCAGCAGACCTTCAAGTTGCATCAGAGAGATGACACATTCATTCGTGGATCTTAGACATTCTTAGACTAACTATTTGGGCCAAGATTGAACTTATCAGTGGAAGGAAAGGTCGCGGTTCATTGGGAAGTGTACGGGGTAGATGGCACCACCCTTGAGCAGAGATGACAGGTATCCTTCCAAACGATGCCCTGCACTCTTGATTCACAATAACACTGATTCTAAAGCCTGCGGGTATGTTTCTTCCCATGAGCTTCTAGGCCAGATGCAAAGCTTTCAGTTTCAGCTTCGTTGGCAGTGGTTTGAGTCATACTTTGGAGGACAATCATCACGAGAATTACTGTATGGTTATAGTACAGTGTGTTATAGTTGTAGAGTGCAAGTTGGCAACATCATGGAGCCGATCTTGCTCAGGCCGGAGCCAGGTGCGAGCAACACCGCAGGGGTTGGTGGCTCTGATCGTGGTCATGGGAAGGCATATGTAAAGGTGTGAGGCAAATCGATTCCAAAGGCACATGCCAAGAAGGTGCTGTTCGACTTGAGGGTTTGACTTCTCCGTTGTGTTTGTTCCCACGCCACAGTATCGCAAAGCATGTTATTTTGCTCGAAGCATCGAGGTAGACATAGGCAGACTGGGGAGACAGGCGGAGATGAGAATTTGATGGGGTCTTCAATCGCAGAAATCCCAAATCTCATAGAAAGAGCATTTCCCCACCGCATGTCCTGTACTGTACTGACTTGTGGACAAGACCTTGTCACTGCATGTTACCAGATCCTGCTGAATGATGTAAGTACGTGGAAGAGACTGTTTGTTCATGGTAAGATTAAAGGTTTCAAAGAAAGAGAACACACAAGATTTTACAATATCACGTGACAAACTCTTAGGAGGATCTTACTAGCCGGATTGGTCCCTCGATGTTGGGGAACAACTGTGGGAACATGTGTCACATGGTTTGCGCCTAAAGTTTAGGTACTTTCCAAGTGTGAGCAGTGATGTTCTTTATGTGGACTTGAGCTTGCCTGAGCTTGTGCCATGTGGCTTGTGGAACTTATCAGTTTTCTTTTCGCAGGACTAGGCGGGAATGGTTTTGCCCAGGGTGAGGCGGTGAAAAACGGTGGAGAATAGGCGTCCACACCCCAAACGAAAACAGTTCAAGCCGTTGGGAAGAAAGCTTCGGTTCATATGGACGGTGAAGTCTCACATTGGGGCGGAACACCGCAACCCACATGGAGGCGTTACACCCGATTAGTGGATCAAAACTTCTGGGTGGTGTCTCTGAAGGGTGTTGAGACATTCTCGGATATGTTATATCACGTGAATTATATCATTATGGTCCTGTGGTCGCCCTCAAGACTCATTCAATACAAAACTGTCAAGCTTCTTTTGGTGAACCCACCACGCTTCAGAAAAGTTGTGAGACACAGGAACAACTTACGTATATGTGTATATCATTGTGTTTTCCTCCGATGGTTATCATTTCGGCCCGTTGTTTTTTTCTCAGCCCAAATATATATATATATACATATATATGTATACACATAAAAGGAAATCATGGCGAGACTATGATCAACTGTTGACACCGCACTCTACTCCGTAGGATATGCAGTATTGCCTGTATATTGGTGGCATTTGGTGCTGGTGGTTTTTGTTGCAGGTGCTTTTTGCGCCTTCGGACCATACCATGACGACCGGACTTGGAACCTCATCCGCAACAGCGCCAACTTTCACGTCATCACTATGCCATCCCAGGACTGGACTGGGGTTCACTGTTTGTTGGTGTGTTGTGGTGTAGTTCTTTGTCGAACGTTTGCTCTCCCATGTTGTAAAGGCTTTCTCAGTTTCGCAAGAATTTGGAGAGGGATGAATTTGAATGACAGCTTTACTCAGTCAGGCCAAAGCCTTGGAGCTCTGAGCTCTCCCAGCTATTTGGGCCTCCCTGCCATCCTTTGCAGGAAAAACCTTCCACCCCGCCAGTTGGTGGCGAGCATGCAGGAAAAACTGTGCTGATTGGGTCTGAAGATAAGGCGGTGTTGGGTGTTCTAAGGTTCAGCACAACCAAGGCGTGGAACTGAGGTTCGATCCTGTGATAGGATGGTCGGTGTTTGTTCTTAATCCAGTTTCTTGGTTTTTGCTGTGGTTGTGGTTGTGGTTGTGGTTGCTCCTGCAGCTGCTGCTGCTGCTGCTTCTTCTCTTGCTAATTTTTTTGTGCTTGTATTTGCTTGTCTCTACGTCGCTTTGTTTGCTTTCCTCTATTGTTATCAACTTGTTCGTTGCTCTGGATTTCTCCCTCCCTTCATTTGCATTTTGCCGCACTTTGCTTTGCTTGTCTATGCTGTTCTTTGCTCCACGTGTCATTGTTTGCTTATCGTGACGTTGCTTCAATTTGTTCCTGATGCGGCTACCCCACTGCTGACTGCAACCATGAACTGCTTTGACAGAGGGTCAACCCTACACCAGCACTCCAGGCCAAAGTGCCACTTCCCCCAATTGTGAACTCTTTTGCGAATCTCACACAGCCACTGCACAGTGCAGACTGCAACCTCGACTCAAATTCCTTTTTCCGATGGAACTGCAGGGCAAGTTTTGATGTGAGCAGTTTCTCGTCAGCAGTTTGCACAGCACAACTCAGATTCTGTCTCCATCATGCCCCGATGTGTTCTTTAAAAAAACAGACCACGCTGCATCTTCTGCATCAATGTCTTTCCTCCTTGTTTTCACGGTGCTTGACTTGTTTGATGTTGCCTCCTCGTCGCAGTCGTGTTTCACTACTTTAGTCGCGGCTATATTAGCTATATACAGTATATATAGCTGGGCGTGGGTGCACTGAGCAGTGCACTTGAAACGTTCATCAACGATGTTCCCTCATCAGGAGCCAACGCATTTTGGTCTCTATGCTCTCGGCGAAGCCAAGCCCACGAAGACCGCCCCGGTGATCCTCTTCGTGCCGGGGCATGGTGGGCAGGGATCCCAAACTCGACATTGACCACAAAGGCCAAGTGTGAAATGAAACCGTTTTCCATGAATCTCTTCCTGACAACCAAGTCTACTAATCTTTCCAGAGAAGAACCCTATATTGTTATGTGGCTGAATCGTTGCAATGTTTGATCGTGATATATCGTGATGCTTTCCACCAGGCTTCACCAGATCAAGATCAGGTGTCCAGAAAGATTTGAGGCAAAAAAGAAACGTGACTCTTGTATCAGGTAAGGAACATTGCGCTCAGTCTGGCTCTAGTCGCCGCTAAGTGGCTGCTGCAGATCGCGTGCCTACATGGGGAGCATGAGCACGTGGCATTTCACGGCTCGACTGTTCACTGATTTGTACAGAGATCACCTGCAGACACCGCTCACATTTTCTTGCGCAAGACACACGGGCACACAGGCCCAAGAGAAGCTGTTCAAAGCCAGCAAGCCAAGTCGGCGGACCGCAACGACCGGCGGAGGAGTGCACTAGATCCTCACTAGACCATTGACCACTTGCAAACCGTGCCGTCCAAGGACTACAAGTCACTACACTACACACATACAGATACATAATGATACATACATTTCGAGCAATTTTGTTCTGTAGGTACGAAGGCTGCTACTTTTCGCAAAAGGGCATGCACAACGTGAAACCATACAGCATTGTATACGAGCGCCTGTTGTCTACATTGACATGAAAGCCAACGGTTGGAAGTACTATGGTTTGGTATTGGGATACTACTTGTAGTTTTAAAACGTTCGTTTTTCAGTCCATTTGGGTCAAGATTCCAAATGCGCGCAGTCACCTTTTCGTGTGTGGACAGTGACTATGTTTGGGAATCCACAGCCACAATCAGTTGCCGTTGGCTGTAATCAGTTGTGACAACTGATTTGCAACGTTGTTTCAAAGACGGTATTTGTTGCGCTGGCCTTGTCGGACTTCTGCTTGTGGCCATCAATTTTAGGCATATATATATAGAGAGATGTTGCAGCCAGTCACGCTGAGCTCAGCATTCCGCGGCCAGAATTTGGTTGCTCGCAACATTCTCTCACAAACTAGCCGGCACCTGTCTGCGAGAAGCATGAAGCGTGAGGTCGTGGAAGCAGGGCATCAACCTATGCGCATACTTGGCCAAAGAGGATCCTGTCCACTTTTACACGCTGGATTTCCATGCGCCAAGCTCTGAGAGATGTTTGTTTGCTGCCATTGATCCTGATGCAGCTGAGTCAATGATTGTGTGTTTCTGTTTTAATTCAATCTTCGGGCAAATTGTTTGGCAGCAATCAAGCAATCCAGTTGCAGTATTCCTTGATTCTACAGACGAAGGTATCTTCATAAGTTTCAAGCTGTGGAATTTGGCTGCCGTCAATGAGGTCTGCCTCAGCCCTTCATTGGTCTGTGTTGTCAGCTCAAGCAGCCTTCACCAAAGCTGTTCGGGGCGCACAGAGAACAAGACATGAACATGCATGTGTGCCTGAACAGGAGAGGACCTAGCGATCTGTAACAAGGTTCTTTGTCAGCTATCAGATGTTGAAGTTGAGTGAGATTTACCCATGTGCAGCCATAATCAGTCATATCCAGATGCATAAGAAGGGTATTGACGGTTTCTGCCAGTGATGTGTCCTCCAAAGAATGTCAATGATACTTTTAGGCGGTCCAGCACCTGGAACGAAAAGACATTGAAAACCGGCTTGTCGGGGGCGGGGTCCACCGCCTTGTGATCCAAGGCGATTCAACGGCTTGGGCAACTGCACACAGGCCAACGATGGCCACACTGTGCTGTGTGGGCAGAACACGTGGGACCTCGGGGTAGACACGCGTCTTCGACACGACACCATGCACTGACAGACGCGTGAAATCATATGAAATCATGTGTCACTCGTCCTGGAAGGTCAATGCGTGGTGACAAAGTTGTTCAGATGTTCAGACATTGCTATGCCGCTAGGCCAAGCTTTGATTGTCCTGGATCCTTTTTGATGTGGGATCTGTTTGGGAGGCCCCAAGCTGGTGCTCGGCCATTCCATGGGCGGCCTAGTGGCTGTGGAAGCTTTGCGGAGATTGTCACAAGTTGAGCGGCTGGCTCCTGAGAGCCCAAACACACAAATGGGGGAGGACCAAGAATGTTCATGCACACCAACTTAAAGTTATATAATGGTGTTTGCCAGTTCCTGCCTCCAGTGTTGGACAGGGGAGCCCTTGTTGTGAGAGCATGCACAGAACCTCCAAGTCAAAAACGGAGGCCAAGAAGGAGTTCTATTGTAGTGTAAACATGTGTAAACGTCAAAGTTTGAAGGACATGCATACGTTCATCTATGTTCCACCTAGCAAAAACTGAGGGCACATAGGGGGCAGTGGTTTGGAGTGGGCCACCATATTCACGAAAGCACACCAGGCTGCTAGATGTGCAACACATGTTCTGCTTGAGGTTCTTGGTACTTGTAGCGATCACAAAGGGAAGGGATGTTCAAACTCGCAGTCGGTCACTAGTATATAGGGAGGTTGATCAACAGTATCTTCAGAGCTGTCGTTCCAGTGAGATCAACCATAGTAATTAGGCTCCACATGCGTCTAAAAATACCCATGGTCCACCAATAGAGCGACCAGTAGCGCAGATGCGGGACCAGGCCAGTGGATGGCCTCTTCTTGATCTCGACTCCTTTGGACTCTCGGCTGCGACTGACCGTGAGACCGTTTTCGTGGCTTTTCTTAACTTGTTCTTGCTTTTTGTATGCTGTTTCTTTTTTAAGGCAGGGGTGAGTAGGCTCTTCAGGGACATATATCTTAGCAATTCTTAGTATATTGGACGCAGAAGGGCTCAGGCTTCTTCCTTGGAAGCCTCAGTTGTTTGGGATATTCAATGATTCATGAGAGAGTTCTTGGAAGTGCACATAGCTGATTCATGCTGATTCCTGTGATGCTGGCAAATTTTACAGATCAGCATACGACAACAAGCTGACAACTATACATATATATATATACACGATCTTGGCGGGCTTAGTGTGAAACTCTGAACAACTTGCTGTTGGAAAGGCAGATTGGGTTTGTCATTTTGGGTAGAATGAGAAGCACCCACAAATTGCTTTCTTTTTCTACAGTTGGACGGACTTGCAGACCAGCAGATAAGTAGACGGTCGAGAGACGGATGTAGCCGAAATGGAGCTGCCTGTGTTTGCTTTGATTCTACCCTGCGGCATCTCTTCGGCTGTTAGAGTTAGAGACCAGAACAAAAAAGAATGCTTTTAGCCCTTACAGAACTCTATCCGCAACTCTCTGCTCCGCTGAGGAGTCACATCCTTTGCTGCTGGATCCGCGTTTTGCGATCGAGGCAGCTCGGGGATAGACAAAGAAAAAAGCCTGGTGCATGGGAAAAAAGTGTGAATAAGTGGTTGCAGGGTTTCTAAGAGTAACTTCCCATTTGGAATTTGTCCAGCAATGAGAATGGCACCACAGAGTCCATGCGACCAAGGTTCTGTAGTGAAATCAAAACCCCTAGTAGCGTCCTTGCTCCTAGTAGCGATGCTCCCCTAGTAGCGTCCTTGCTCCTAGTAGCGATGCCAGGAGCCCCTATTAGTAGCGTCCTTGCTCCTAAGGGCATCAGGCTCACAAGGCTTCGTCAATTGCAAACAGAGAAAGGTGACCAAGGGCTGAAGATGAGACAGAGACACTGAACCACCCTTCGCCAAGGCCTCTAACCTCTCATGCTCCATCGTCTCAGTGTCAGGCATATTGGGATGGGCTTGCATGGGTGAAATGTTCGCGGTATTTAGGTTTCAATAGTCAAGTACTCAGATCCCCCTGTATTTATCTTCATTGTTCGAAGCACGATTTCAGTATATAACTATAACATACTACAACTAAGTCACGTCGCCCCAACGACCCCGCGCGAAACGCGCACCTCCCTCCAAGATGCGATAATGTGCGAATGCCTTACAGCATTTCGGCTATCTGGCAGTTTAAAGCACGACAAAGTACGGTGCTTTACAATAGATTGTGTCGTTTTTGTCCCGTTTACAGTGGGATTGTAAGATGAAAATGAAATCTTTCAACGTCAACGTCACACTTATACACTTTCTTCATTTAATACATTGGATACCGAGCGCTATTTCCCGCCAGCCCATCGCACCTCCGGAGGGCCACTGGGGAGAATTGTGTTACTATAAGCAAAAAAACGCTAAAACCGCAAGGTCGTTTTCGCTGGCGTGAGCTATAACTAGACTATAATACAGATTTGGAGCCGAACCAGCCTCTTGGACTGTTTGCTTGAAGGTTTGGCCTTTCGATCCTTTGGAATTGGTCCCAGCCCGCAGTTGGAGCCCTTTGATAACTGGATCAGCTCGATCGAGGCGGTGCGACGGATCCCTTGGTGCCCATGAAGACCACCAGGTTGAGGACGGCGGGGCCGACAAGGGAGTGAGATGGGAAGGCCAGCCTCCGCCTCGGTGGCTTTGACGTGCAAAGTGGCGTGCGTAGTCACTTGTGGGATTTTTTCTTTACGCGGTTCTTCTCCAAAGCCGACGCACTGCTTGCGAGAATTGAGAACGACTTGGAACTTATTGTCGCTTTGTAGTGAATACAGCCCCTGCAAGAGTACAGCAAGAGCACCATCATTTTTTCAAAACAACTTTGTGTTTTGCGATGTTAGATTGGAGAAGCAAAAGCACACATTGGTTGCTCGGCTAGCTCCAGGAATGCGCACTTCATTCCACTGCCAGCGGCGCGTGACTTGATCGAACTCAGGTGATTGGTAGGGGAATGGAAGGATCTTGAAGAGATGGCACAGATGCCAGTAAACAAGAAGCTACTAGGGGCTCCTGGCATCGCTACTAGGAGCAAAGGACGATACTAGTAATCCGTTCGACGAGGAGTCACATGAACATGTGGGCGCGCTCTAGTCCCCTTTTCTGCCGACGGGGATTCTCTTGACTAAGATGCTGGCACTGGAAACGTTGAAGTTTTGAATCGAGTATATAATGAGATTTGGTGTCCAGGTCAAAACATTGTTTCTGGACGTTTAACAGAGCCATGCAGAGTAGGTGTAACTTGGATGTACCCCATTCACCAGAACAGGTCAGAAGAGGCCGCTGCCGTTTCAGGTTCATAAATCTCAACGACGTGGAACCGCCGTATGAGCCGACAAGACAATATGTTGGTACATACTGACATACTGATACTGTTTTCTGCATATTGCTTTCTGGTTTGGGTTGAAGCCAAGCAGCTGTGCGTGGATTATTCTTTAGAGATATGAAGGGAGCTCTTTGAGCAGCCACTAGCTTAGCCATGTGAGGACAGGACCCAACGATCACAGACGGACAAGGCGGATTTCATACGCAAAAACTGCAAGAACTATTTGGGATGCCGCAGTTGCACACCATCGCTTTCTCACCATTGACATGATTTGTTTCGATCAACCTGCCCAGGGGATGTCTACTCATCCTTCAGCCACGTGAACCTCCTCTTCTCGCGACACAGTCCCTCAGCTTATCTCGCACAGTGTCGAATCAAGCAACATGACCTTGTTTACCGGTCGTTGTGACTCTGGGTTTGAACATGGTTGTCATGGTCATAGTGGCTTGGAGCCCGTTGAGACAGGGGTGATCCAATGGACTTCTACAGTACGTAAAGTTCTAAAGGCCGCTTGCTATAGTTTGTCCAGTGTTGGGAAGGAAGGCCTATATAGTTAGCAAGGCATCGCAACTTGCGCTGCTGCATTGAAGAATCAACCAGAGCAGACTCCTGACAACCTGCCGGTGCGGTACATCTTGGCTTTTTTGCTTGAGCTTCTCAGGGGTTCCCACACCCATCTTTCGCATGTTTATATAATCTATTTTTGGTGTTCACAAGTTCAAGTTGTTGGAGGACCAATTCTTGGCAGATTTTATGTTCAATCCTTCAAGGTTGAGGACGATCCATGAACCTGACATTCTGCAGAATTCGCTGGCTATTGATGGGACACGGAAGATCAAGCCAAGATCACCTTGAGATGTTCAGGTTTTGGCAAGTTGTTTGCATTTCTGGGACGCGAAGCGGAAGGATGCTTTTGCTTCCTCAAACAAGAAGCATTTGTTTCGCCGCATACCTGAGGCCTTCATTTCTTGTCCCGGATCCTCCGCACTGGACCATCTGAGGGACCCTGGCCGGGAGACCAACAGCCTGATAATGAACCTGTAGATATTGTTTGGGGGCAGGGCAACGGAGGTCGATCTTGATGATTGATGGTAAGATTCCTGAAGCATTATATTAGAACCATGCTGATCCAAACGGCTATAGAACGCAGATTTTCCCTATGCCGAATGCAAGGCACCAATGATGATTCATCTCCGTTCCATCCATCAATGTAAAAGTATGTACAGTGCATACCTGGGAATTGAGAATCTTACAAGTTGGTTGTGGAACATCCAGGATGTTTGTTATATATGTAGATAGATGTGCAAGCAGCCTGGCTTCGGTTTGATCCGCAGGTCCAATCTCCTGGGCCGCCCCACAGCAGCAACCCGAGTGAGCGCTCCTGCGCAGGAGCGGATTGGAGATTCAACACGTCAGAACTGGGTTTTCACATGTCACACCCCCATATGCTTGTTCAGCTTTTGCCTGTGATCAGATTTCACATACCACTGCTGGAAGAACGTTTGACTTGTATGGCGTGTGCTAGTATTGAAATAGGTACACTGTAAATGTAAGGTGCCTCAGACTAGTCAGATTCCAGTTCTGAAGTTATATGAGATATATGAGAACAAACTGGAGCCAGAATTGGAGATCCGGTGATGTGGCGTGGGCATCAGGCATTAGGATTGATTGCAAGACAGATTTCACCAAACTATACCAAACTAAGAATCATTAACTTAAGAATCCGTGATGTTCACATTGAACATGTGCATGGCTGGAGGCTCGGACTCATGGTATTGGTACGCAACACATTTGCATGCAGCATTTGTGAAATCTTGGTGAGGGAGCTAGTTTTGGCCAACCAGCGGTCTCAACATGTCTCTACTAAGACCTATGGTGGGATGCAAGCGGGTGTTTGGAGGTTGTTTGGCGCCAGGAGAATGCCAGCTTTGTTGAGCCTGGGGTGCTTCTCCTCAGTTTCCAGCGGAGTCTTTTAGACAATCCGGCAAGATGGCCAGACAGGTTTTAGCACAGCTGGCTCATGTCTTTAGCTCCTTCTAAGTCAAAAGGTCCTGGTTACGCTCGGATTGAGACAAGTTTGCGTCTATGTTTGGTGCCTCCACACTGAGGCGGCGGTGCCCTTTGACAGGCGATTGGTGGGATTGGTGGGTTGAAAAAGGGTCGGAGCGATCCTGCTATGTCATGGTTATTTGATGCACGCAAGTGATTGTGGAGATTGTCAACGGTAATGACAGATGCATTGTTTCTGTGACAAAGTCAAGAGACTAAGGGTCGCTTGCTGATGTGCAACTCTTGATGTTTGCTCGGACTGATGCCATACCGAGATTGAATGCCTCCAATAATTTTGATTACTCCGATCTTCGGACAGCAATTGAACATGATGCCCTCAATGTGATGACACCTTGGACATTCAGGGGCGGCATCAAATACTTTTATGTAGCAACTACCTTTTCCAGGAGGTGTGGTTGTTGTACCAAACGTGTGCCTTTCAGTCAAGCTGCTGGAAGTATGATTCTCCACGGATCATTGATCATCGTGGCGGTCAAAGTTTGCAGGCCAACTAACGCCAAAGTTAAGTACGTGAAAGGTCACACAAGCCCCGTGATCTCTATAGGTATCTCCAGCTCGCACTGTCGCACGTGTTTGTTGCCGTCACAAGGCTGGCCAAAGTGCAGCTGTTTCGTCCAATGACTGGAGGCCAAAGAACGGTCTAAAGGGGGAGAGTCCAAGAGTTCAACGGTAGCCGGTAGGTGGTTTGCGTTGAAATGTCGTCAGCTTCGACAACGAAGACATCGTCAAAATGTTTGACAATGGTTGAATCAGGTTGGCATAAAGGAAGAACTTGTTGCACTGCATGCACTTCAACATAGTTCGTTGCATTCTTTTTAAGAATGCTCAGATGTTTTCTGTTGTGGTTTGAACAAATCAACTGAAACTTGAATGATTAGTAATTCAAGCAGAAGGTCATGCTGCACATGATATGGTTTGCATTGGATTTTGGGAGGCGAAGTTTGGGTGTCAGGCAGGGTCAGGACACGGGTAACAAGAAGTGAGCTTCAAGAACAGCCCTTTTGAGAATATTTGATAATTAAGTTTTCGCCCGACTTGTGTTGGTCAGCCCCGGAGCCAGGGATTTTTAGCTTCCTGCTCATGGAGGACAGCTGAAAAGGAAGTGAGCTTAATCTGCATTGCGTCATTGCTAACCTTTTGCAGCTCATAACCCTACCAACCTAGCAAGTAGTGTTTTGATGTTGTTGGACTGTTCCATAGAGTATAGCTACTCGATGGACAAGTGCGGAAACCACAGCCGGCCCGCTTTGCAAAGGAGCCGCAAGCAATCCAACGCCACCCTGAGCGTACCTCACGTGGTGAGGCAAGGTGGGTGGTCAACGTTGGAAATACACAACGAACTGCAACTTCAAAAGGATTGCCGTACAGAACCCGAAGATCCAAAGCCCTTGGCAGACAATATTTGATAATATTTTGTGTGTGTGCGTGTTCATACTCCGAGATTATGGGCATGTAGGCATGTATCCTTTTCGCCAAGTGCTGTAGACCTTCGATGCCACGGATGTGCTGAATTGCAGCGAAACAGTGTGGAGGCCCACTCTGTGTTGCAGTTTCATAGTGGAACATCCTGAGGGCGCAGTGGGCTCTTTGGGCACTTTGCCGTCCGAGTTCTTCCTTCGATGTTGTGCAAAGCAGTTTAAAAAGCTGCAAGGTGCCGGTGTCGGTGCTGCTGCTGTTGCTGTTGTCGTTCCTGCAGTTCCTGCTGCTGCTGCTGCTGCTGCTGCTGCTGCTGCTCCTCGTGCTGCTGCTGGTGATGATCATGATTGAATTTACATGCTGGACCTGCCGGGTTGAAGCAGATTCCAAGCGCTCCAAGGCTGTATCTTGGCAAGATCAGGCCGGGCGCTGAAGGCTTGGCGCTAGGCTGACAAGCCGCATCAAACCACATATGAGGTGTTACGAGCCGCACACTGTTATGATCGGTACTGTGTCACTGACAATATATAGTCACTTGTTTCAGTACAGAGTGTTTGATGTGTGTGATTGCGAGGAACCAGACATCAGTCTTGAGTCTTGACGTTGGCTTATGCACTGTGAAATGTGCCCAGGAAGCAGGCTGGTACCAAGTGCCAGTGATCGAGATGCAGTTTCCTGCGAAGGTGAGAAGAAGCCAATGATGAGCTGAGAAAGAACTTGATTGTAGCCCGTGGCACAATTTGTATTCTCATGGTCCTGAGCATGATAAAGAACTGATTGAAGTCTGATGAACGCGTGGCTTGCCACTATCTACTGTAGTTTTTATCTACTAGCAGGGAATTTCATGTGAGCAACCGACGAAGCTGGATCGATGCTGATGGAAATCCAACAAACAGGAGATTGGATTTGCAGGGTATCTCACACGAGAGGTAGCTGGATAACATTTAGCGGACGTAGTGTGAGTATGTTGCAGGAACATGCTTGCAATCAGGTCACCATGTTGCAACAATTAGGTCTTGTGGGTGTTGGGATGCTTTGGGATGCTCCCCTGAGCCAATCGAGAACATACGTCGACACCAGGTCTGCCTGTACCAGCTGCGAGAAACGGCCAGGGCTCCCAAAGAGGGCTGGAGCAGATGCAGCTGCCCAGCTAGTAGCTAGTCTGACTCAGGACCTTCGTGATCTGGACTTCGAACTCTAGTCGACTCATTACGCAAAATGAGTGAAACGAACGTTCCATCACCCTTGGTGCAGTTTGCACAGGGGGTTTAGCCAGAATAGCAGAATTGTCTATTGCAAACTGCCTGTTTTGTCTTCAATTGTGTTCTCGCAAGTTCTCACTGCCTTGATTGAATCAACTCTTCTTCCACCTTTCACTCCTTCCTTCTGTGGACCTGCCATATTCCCGAATCAGTGGGTGGGGGGTAAAGCTCCAATATCCCCACTTGCACAACCATATGGCGACGGGCGACGTCCTCAGATGTGATAAGCAGTGTGCTACAGCACCAGTTGGTTCCTCACAGCTGGCGGTGAGCATCCAGGCCCTGGTGGCGCTCCTTCGGCCCAAGAGAAAAAAACGTCTCAGACGAACAGCTTGGGCCTGGGCCTCAGGTGATGCATCTAAAATCTAGACTTAGAAGCTCCAAAGCTGCGTCTCCAGCAGTGGCAGAGATGAATTTCATTGTGAGTTGCTTCTCCCTCACACGTTCGAACGATGAAGTTTCACGGACCCCGCAGAATCTTTGCTACCTTGTATAAAGCCTTCACTGCGCAGTGTTTTTTTGGGGCAGCTTGGAGCTACAGGCCCATTGGCATGCAGACCCTTTGCAGGATCAGGCGCCAACCCAAAAACATGACAGGAGGGGTGAGGATTTGGAAAACGGGATCATTTTGTCCCAACTTGGTGAACGTGAAGCTGATTCGAGCCCCTGCCTTATGAATTGGCGTCTCGTGCTGCGGTGCTTGTCTTCAGTTCAGATTTTGATTTGAAATGATTTGATATGTCCACTCGCCTTGGAGTCCCCGAACACTGATGCCACAGCGAGGCAGCCCTACCCTGTGGCTCGAGATCTGCGATGGGTGCTCTCGGGTGCGGGTGGCCGGTCTGTAGGAACTCGTGCGATGGGTTGGCGTGGTGAGTTGGATTGTAAATGATTGGTAACTTCATGTAACATCTCAACCTCTGGTGCTTGGGACCAGCGTTATTCATTTCCCCTTGCAGTTTGTCAACAGACTGACTCCTGAGCAGGCAGCATAAAAATAGAGCATGCGGTTTGCGGATTGTGAATGTGCATCAAGCAAAGAGGAGGCTACTGTTTGCAAATGCCAAACGCACTAGCAGGTAGAACATGGTAGATTTTTTGGCAGTTAATTTGGGCATGGGTCCAATTTTCAAAGACACCATAGAGAACTTGCAAAACCAAGGAAGATGTGATAAGATATGTACCCTGGGTCACCACAGCTCTTTGGCAAAATATGGAGGGTCATGAGGGCCACGTGGGCACTGAAATGTGAATCAGCAGGTCATGGCTGCAGATGCTGTTTCAACCACTTCACTGTGAGCTTCCTGCTGGCCTTATACTCAGAAATGGCTTGTGTACATACAGAAATGGCAGAGAGTTGGAGGCAACCGGGCTCTATAATGATGAGACTTTGACCTTTGAGTTAGTGGTTGGGGGATGTGGCAAGTGTCGAGCCCTCAAAGCGCCCAGATCAATTGAGACATTGGAGGAGACTGCATGGTGTATTCCAGAAAGTCAGCTCTCTATGACTCAGACTGTCTCATTTGCTGGATCCATGGCTGGTATGGTTGCCTTCAGCCGAATCACCCTGTGTTGTGGTGACGCTTCAAGATGTGCAAATACTGTATTTAAAAGGGGTTTGTCGGGCGTTTTGCCCTACCACGGTTTGACCATGCCACAGGGTGTGCAGTCCTGAAAAAGGATTTCACTTGTTTCAAAAAGCAAGAATCATCACCAAATCCTACATAAACATAAGCAAAGATTAGAAAGACACGAGACAATCCTAGGAAAAGACCGCAGTAAATACTGGAAAACGGAAGGAACATCTCGGCAGACACTGAAAAGAAAAGCACCCGAAATCTTCCGGAAAACACAAGAGTCACTGATGGAGACGGTGGGGTAGAAAAAGCCAAGAAACAAGAAAAAGACACCTCAGAACCCGGGAAGGACGGTGGGGTGAGGAGGGGGTGGGGAGGAATGGAAGCGGGACCATCTGGTAACGTGCTTGTTTCTCCACTGAGGGAAGGAAGTTACCCGGGACCATCTGGGAAAGTGATTCTCTTTCTGCGCGAGTCGGGAGGCTGTTTGGAGACTCACAAGTAAAGAACGAAGACACCCGATGCCCTGCCATGCATCGGAGGTTCATCGGAGGTTTGTGGCAGATCCGGCGCCACACTAGCCACCCTCCTGAAGGGTAGGGATGAAACCATCGACCACGCCAGACCCCACTTCGCTCAGCAAACTCATTGATCATTGTGTCCTGTTCTTTTCACTTGAGAGTGAACTAGGTCTTCCTCAGTCTTAATAATCATGTTTATCCACGCCTTAGGGCAGCTTGTGAGATCCCGGCATTCAGGCCGTGCCTTGGTCACACGGATGGTGCGCCTGCAAGTCAGTGTCAGTTTTGGTTTGAGACTAGTAAAGAGTTGACGATTCGTTTGACATGTGCACATTTCCCCCATCCCTCCAGGTACTGCCGCTGCCACAGCTGCCAATGTTGCCTGTGGATCTACGGATTGTGAAGGTGCCCTGGAAGTCTGGATTTCAGAACCCAAGCTCTATCAAGTCCTTACATGTACTGTACCCTTTCGCGGGGCTGCCTTCTTGATGCAGTTCCACATTTCGCAAGATTCTGTCTAAAGATGCAAAACTGTCAAGGCTTTCAAGGCTTTCAAGGCTTAGGTTTTCTGGCTTTGACCGCATCCTTCTTCTTAGAGGGGGAAGGCGGGCGATGAGGCCACAACTTCAGATTCGAAACCGTGGGAAGAGACACAAGAAGCTATTAGAAACAAGTGCCTTACTAGTAGTAACAGGTGCCTTACTAGTAGTAACAATGTTTGCTAGTAGTAACAAGTGCCACGCTACTAGAAACAAGCAAATTAATTAGGTGTTTCTGGATCACGTTCCTGACAACGTACGATGACATCAGCAATCGTTGGCCATCTCTTCACGCCGGTGTGTTGTCAGGTCTCCCCTTCAGAAGCCACATTTGGTTGGTGGGGATGCCTGAACAGAGAGTCAAGAAAAAGGGTCCAGAACAGATCATGAAAATGGCAGCCTGGCAGTCAGTTTGTTCATAATTCAACCAAGGTCCTAGAGTTTGGACTCGCCATATTTGGCTGTGGTTGTTGCCGGTTTCGGAGTTTCGCATCCTACAGCGAAGAGTTCCACACTGTGACATCTTTAATCCTCAGCTCTCTACCCCAAGGGGATGACTATGGATGACTTGTGGCTCTGCCAAGGCAGCCTCCTTTGGTCCTGACAATGGCGCACCCAGAAGTCAGGTAAGATACCGAGCTGCTGGGGGAATCGTTAGCCTTGCTTAGTAGGGTAGCTGCTGGTTTGATTACACTTACACCACTTCAAAGTTTCTTTCCACTCCCCGAATCTCCAGGACCTTGTGGCAATGTATGGCATTGCAAAAAGAAACTGGATAGACCGTTCTTTGTTCCCAAGTGATTTTCAAAAAGAGCATGTTTGGATGGTGCAGGGTGGCCGCCCTACGCTTGGAGGTGGATCAGTCAGGGCACCAAGGGTAGAACCGGGCTGCCCAAAAGCTACAGGTGGGAATGCAAGAGTCATCACAGTAGACAAATTGAAAAATGAGCTTCAGTCACAATACACTATCGAATGCTATAGACTATCATAGACTATCTATCATTGAACTGAATCAATCTGACAACGTTGACACAGTTTTTTGCAATCACGGCTTTGATCGATTGGTTGGAGATGAACATCGTGTCCAGAGCATTACATGAACTGATGCAAAACAGCACAGTGAGGTCCACCTGTTTTGCTGTCTGTGTGTGTGTGTGTGTCTCTATTTGAGCAAAGGCCTGGGAAACTAGATCATAGAGCAAATCGAAACCTCTCGGGCATTTTTAGAGTCGACACTCATGTCAGAGCCAGCACGTAGACCATGCTTGATGCTGTGAAACTGTCTCTTTCCCTGAAATCCGAGTCCGATGCCGGGCAACGCACACCCAGGTCGGAGCCGCCTTCCCAGTGGGCTTCAGAGTCGCGCGATGCCAGAGAGGTCTTCGCGCCCCGCAGTACGGAGCTTTCAGAGGCGTGCTGGGCAACAATGAACGGCTTGGACGACCTGGGACCTCAACGATTCGCAGCCAATTGTTTGAGGATTGTTTACAACCCAACATCTAGAGTTTTTGGAACTGAGGAGGATGGTGGGCATGGGGTTGCACATTACCGGGGCTGTGACATATTTTTTGTTGATGTATTCTTAGAATCGAGATTCCAACCGATGCCGACCAAGAATTAAGCAGTGACAACCCTTTATAGAATCGTTTACTTCTGTTTGACTGATGATGCTCCATCATCCACCGCTCAGGACTTTTCCATCTTTGCAACTTGACGGCAAGTACACGATGGTTTCATGTCACAAACCCTAAGCTTCGACATGATTGTTTGTTGCTGGCATGCAGCATCATGCAAGACGAAGGAGTGGAGCACGAGCATTGTAAGGTTGTTTTGCAGTTTGCCTGTAGAATGTCTACTCAAAATTCTAGTTGTGTTTTGTTGCTATGAATCTGCCAAAGGTTTGCAATGACCGTGTGACCTTGAGAAACTCTCAAAACTTGAAACTAAATCAGAGTTTGCTGCATATTCAGGTAATCGGCCACCCGAGCCTTACAGTGACCATAGAGGTGCAGACCAATGAGTTGAACTGAAAGGTGCATGCATCATCTCAAACCACTCCACCTTTGCCGCCTCGTGCGTCATGCGTGGGATTCCACTTCTTTGGTGCAGTTGCTGCTTCAGAGGTTGTTGCCCGTGTTGAGAATCTAGCCTCAAAAGCAGGACTCAATGTCTCCATCCTTCGTTGCACTAGGTGCAGAGCAATGCCTACTCCATGCTGGCGGAGTGGATGCGTGACCCCAGCAGTTTTGAGGAGATGAGACGTGGGTGTTGAATCGCTTTTCACAAGGCAGAAGGACTCGATAAGCAACAACTTTGGACGTGTTTGTCTCTTTTCTGGTAGCTATTTGGCACAACATGTGTAGTACTAATTATATCCTCCCTTAGTTGTCATGGTTCCAAGCATAAACCATGTTTAGCTAGCCGCCAGCCATGTTGGAGGTGAATCCATTTGTCATCTAGGGATATATAACATTTGTTATGTCTACTACATATTTCTATACTGCAAAAGCTTCGGACCATCTCTAGCCCAAGGTACTCAGAGATTCCATGCCTGGCTCGGGGCATGTTCTTGCCTGAGTGTCCGCGTCCCTAGAACCGATCAACTTTAGACGTTGAGCGCTGGCAAAAAGCTCTGAACAACTCGAATAGTGCTTTCCTTAACGTATGTAGAATCTTCAGACCTGGATCTTGCCTTGCGTGTGCACAATTAGGAGTCAGGCATTCACACATCAGCTAATTAACTTGTAGTAAGGCTTAAGTCAGTCCTGCCGTATTCAATTTGAGGGTGCATGGAGAGACTCCCGTACTCTCCAGATTTAGGTGGTGTTTTGGAAGCCACGAACAGCGTATCATCTCTCCAGTGGTCATGGAAGTGAAAGAGTGATGTGTTCAACAAACCGAGAGCATATCCCCCAGGCTGCAGACCTCGTCGGTGCCAGGCGGCAAGGGGGCAAACAATATTGTTGGAACACGCCATAGATGGCGCTGTGTGTTTTTGGTGGCCACTGGGGAGAGGACCATGGTGCTTCGTGAATGCAGCCCCTGACTGGGGAGAAGGTTAACTAGTATCCTTGCTCCGTTCGTAGCGATGCCCTTTGTTCCTTAGTAGCTTCTTGTTACTATAGTAGTAATGCCAGGAGCTACGTTCGTAGCGTCCTTGCTCCTAGAACTGCGGTTCCAGGGGTTCTTTTTAACCTGCCCCAATGACCTTTGTTTGTTGTTAGTGTTGCGTGTGAACACGACTCCGACTCCACACAGGGGAGAAACCAAGAGCTTCCGAACACCTCTAGAATTACGGCTGAAGAGTTCACCATCCGTCTCCATCCCACCTTGTGCACCTTTTCAACGCTTCAGTAAAGTTTTTGCAGTGCAGCGTTTTTATTCTAGCATGGTCGTGAGCCTCTCGCGGACACAGTTTGGCTGTATTCAACAATTGGCCTATACGTCCTCCAAAATGGCCTGTAAGACTCGAGATATGGTTCGCTTGGTCTGAATGACACTTGGCCTAAAGAGGCCTGAGTGAAAAAAGTGCCTAAGTAAACCAGGGAAAAAATTAGGAACAGTTAACGTGCGTGACTGCAGTGAACTAGCTGACAAGTGCATGTTTGCACACCTATGCCTATTATATACACCTAACCAGCCTTGTCACTGGAGATTCCGCGTCTGGAATTCATAACAGCCTCTTCGTTGGACTGCCATAAAAAGGCCAAAAGGCTCCCTGTGACTCCAAGGGCCACACACCGATTTGTTCTCGTCACATGAAGAATTCATCACCACAAACGCACGTGTCACAAAAATGTTACGAAGTGTCACAAAAACGCATGGCCATCTATAGCGCGTGCTCCAACTGCGCACAAGAAAGCTAATCAGCGAATCCTTAGAGAAGACAGGAAATGTTGGAAAGACAACGAAGCACACACATGGTGGTTAGCTATGTCGACAAACCCAATTCCGAGAATGATCAAGCTGCAGTTCAAAAGCAACCTTCCAAGAGACCTAATTACTCAATATTACTCAGACTATCTCGGACTCAACCAAGTGCGCCCTGCAGCCGTTTTCGGCTCGTGGGATCTCTTTGCTCATGTGGCGTCTTTGGAGCCTGGCGGTGGGTACTTGCACCTTTGCCTTCGGCCAGGATTGCTCCGGCCACGGAGTCAGTTGGGGTCCTGGCATCGGTCCTCCGCCCAGCGGCTGCGGCGGACCTGGCCCACCAAGTGGGGGCGGAGGCAGGGTACAGAGTGCTTGGGTGCCGTGGGTTTGAGAAATCACTTGAGAACTTCACTACAAGCTCCATAAACTCAGGATGGTCAAAACAAGACCAGGCGTACCATGTATTCAAAGACTCCAAGTGTCAGTCTTGAAACCTTCCCGTCCCCAAGGCACTGGCAGCACCCAGAGCTGCCAAAACCCGTCCTGCAACTCCCCACCCTGTGCTGCGCCACTGTTGGGCGATGTGGGCTGCACCACCGTCAGTGGGATCGAGACCTATGCGCACGAGCTCCTAGCAGCAGGTGCAAAGCAGCTGGGGCTTCCTCGGGGCTATGCCATGTTAGTCCAAAGGATTTATGGAATTCCATGGAATTCCTACAGTTGGGTAGGAGGGATGTTTGACATGATATATTGAATCAGGTGTACAATTGCTATTAGGGTGGACGCCATCGCTATAAAGGTTGGAGACCATCGCTAGTAGGTTGGAGGCCATCGCTAGTAGGTTGGAGACCATCGTATGGTGGAGGCCATCCCGAGTAGGTTCTAGCTTTCAATTAGGAAGAGAAGAGAGCAGTGATTGACTAAGTTCCTAAATAAAGCAGACCAGAAAGCAGATGGACAGAGGTTTTCTTTCGCAGGCGAGAGCATCGCCAGTGGCGCACACATTTATGGCCCCTTTGAAGCAGGCTTTACCTCTCAGCAGGACAGCAATGGAAAGTCTGAGGATATCAAAAGAGCACCCTGTTCGGTTTGGGAAGCTGAGTATTCACCGCCAGATCCCTTCCCTTCAAAGGAAAGGGCCGGAAGTGCAACCAATGAATGAAGAGATGTACCCCTTGCACTCATAATTGGTCATAATTGGTCAATCGGTGTGGGGTTGCAGAGTGGGGACAGATGTGCAACATGGGTCAAACTAGTCAGGTAACGAGGGCTCCACGTCCAAGTCTTAAAGGACAACTTGCAAAAGAACTCAAACAAATCACGTGTTGTGTTTTTTGTTCGTGGGCAAGAGAAGTCTTCGGGCTATATATATATATATGCATATAGTCAGTATATATATATATATATATATTCAAAACCTTGAAGAATTTCGCCTTTGGTGTGCAACTAGCAAGGACTCTGATGTAGAGTTGAGGTGTATTTCAGAAATTTCTAATTGGCCAGGACGGCATTATTCAAAATTGGGGCTGCTCCACTCCTTCTTTGGTCTATGACACAGAAGGTGGGACGGACATTGGCATCGCTGAGAAGAAAGTGGCACTGGCATGTGGTATTGAATTCCCTCGTTTTGAAGGTAGCACCTACTACGGTGTGGTTGGTCCTTGTGGTGGCCACACGGGCGATTACCACTTCCACCGGAGCTTCAGCTGCTTGTACTCCGAATCAGGTGGTCACTCCACCAAGGTTGGGTCAGTGGCCTCTCATGGCATCTACGGCAAATGGGAGGACTTTGATCTCAAGTGGCTTCCCTTGTTGGATGCTTGTGGAGCTCACATTGGTCCCACGCCTGATTCGGCAACGCCAGTGTATCACTACCATGTTCAAGACCAAGCACCATTCACTGTAGGCTGCCATGGGCCAAGTCAGAGTGGTGGATTGGTCAGTGTTTCAGTGTGCCGTACCTTGTACGCCGACTGCGATGATGATGGCGGCAGTGGTACCAGTATCGCCACCAAAGCTGGATCCGTCACCTATGATCGTTTCTGTCCGTGCTTTGATGCAGCCGGCTCGAATATGGGCACTAACGTGCAGGAACTGCCAGCTTTAAGTTCCAATGAGATTTACTATTCGGCAGAAAGCACCACCACCACCACCACCACCACCACGACCACGACCACGACCACGACCACGACCACGACCACGACCACGACCACGACCACGACCACGACCACGACCACGACCACGACCACGACCACGACCACGACCACGACCACGACCACGACCGCCGCCAGCACCAGCACCAGCACCACCACCACCGCAACAACAACAGCCGCCACCACCACAACAATGACAACAACAACTGCAGTCACCCCTACCACTACTGGGACTGTCCCTACCACTGCAACAACAACAACAGCAGCAGGTGCGTCAATTACAGTGACAGAAACAACCAGAGAAACAAAAGCAACGACAGCAACGCAAACAACCATCTCACAAACAACGGCAGCAGCAACAACGACCACAGCAGCAACCACAACAACAGAAACTGCAGCAACAACCACCACAACTGCGGGATCATCCACCATGACAGAAGCAAAACACACGCAAACAGAGGCGCAACCGAGTAGCACAACAGTTCACTCTGCTAATGAAACATCGACGACGCAAGACATTGGCGGTGCTGACAGAAGCACATCAAGCTCCAGTGCGTCCTTTGCCCTTGTCACGACTGCAAAGGGTGGGAGCACCACCACTAGTGCAGTTGAGAAGCCTTCTAGAGCGTCTTGGATTTGCATTGTTTCCTGCCAAGTTGCTCCAGTTGTCTCATGTTATCTCCAGTTTAGGGAAAAGAAGTTGGGAATGAATCAAATGCTCCCCAGGTTTCAGAAGGTTGTTGGAACATTGCCACAAAGTCCTTCGCCTCTCAAATAGAGTTCGTCTCGAGCACTTCTTCAAAGTCCCGCGGTCTTCCACTGTTTGCCCACACCTCGTTCAGGAGACCTCGTTTCGGTCGACCACAAAGGGCAGTGTCGTCGACTCGGGCACCACCAAAGCGGTGACCATGATGGAGGATGCGAAGACCATGAGCAGTGAAGCTAAGACTATGGACGATTGGCTTACCCCACTTGCGGCTAGGAGCAAGGGCGCTACTAGGGGCTCCTGGCCTTACTACTAGGAACAAGGACGCTACTAGGGGCTCCTGGCATCGCTACTAGGAACAAGGACGCTACTAGGGGCCAAGACTATGGACGATTGGCGGAGTGGATGATGGAGGATTCGACGGTCGCAGGGTCCGGTCCTGTCAGCAAACAGCAGCATGCCTCCGAGTGTGCATCGTGCATATTGACATTGCTACCTTGTTCCTAGTAGCGTCCTTGCTTATATAATAACATGTTTTGTTGAGGGAAGGCAGCTGATAAATGAAGCCTTTGGAAGAAATGTCGACGCAAGGGTTGACCCCTATGAGGCATCCTCAAAGGTAATCGGTTGATGTAGGAATGTGATAGAATGCGGGGTCCTGTGGAGAGTCTTGGAAAAAACAACATGTTGATGCCATCGCTATTAGGTTGGAGGCCATTACTAGTAGGTTGGAGGCCATCGCTAGTAGGAAAGTAGTATCAAGCGCAAGGTCCTGGCATTTGCTGCTCTTCGCCTTCGAATCTTCTAAGCTCTTCGGGTCGTTGGGCCTGAGCCTGTCCGAACCGGGCTGAACCACAGAATCAGGGCTGCTTGGCAGGTCGATGGGTTGACACTTGACCAATGCCACTGAGATGGCAAACTTGCATCCCTAAGTCTGTGACGTCCTAAACCATCCTAAACCTGGTGGACCTATTCCAGCCAAAGGTTGGATTGTCCAATCAGAGTCCAAGCCCTCAGATCGTGGTCGAAGCTCAGCATTTTTGGGCCAAGCTTCGATGGATTTCCAACAAACACCGCCACCTTTGGACTGTCCAATGGACACTCCTCAGTCGATGCTGCCGGCAACTGTCAGGTGTTTTTTGCGGAGAATGAAGAAGAACTTGTTGTCAAGTGGGCCACAGTTGTCCACGCCTAATGACTAATGTGCTTGTTCCCTTATTTGAGGAAGATGCAGAAAACATCCTGACGTTTGTCGATCCTTATTCTGTTTTGCTGTAGATAGGCATGAACTCATCAGCTTTTCCTGCTGAGCCCTGAGTGGAACACACGAAGGGCAATCAGTTGCCTTTGATGGAGTTTTTTTGATAGAAGTTCGATCAATAGCTCATAGAATGGAGCCGCTTCCCAAGCAAAAGTACGATCGCAGCGCCCTGCTACCATGCTCTCTTTACAAAACTGACAAACACTCCAATTTGATCTGTGGGGCACATGGGTATGCCTTGCAGAAGACGGGTGAATAAGGGTGGTTCTGGAGTCCAACTGGTGCCACAGAGACCTGCATAATGACAATTAGTTGAAGTTGGGGTTTGTGGAACTTGTATGCTTGTAATATCTTGTAATCATTTGTATAATGATGTTGATGTTGATGTGGTTTTGCACCAAATCAGACACTTGGAGATGTAAAGGATTGTGTTGAGGGAGTTTCAAAGTCATCCAGGTGGGCCCAGTGGACCTTCCTGGCAGCCTGGCTCATCACTACTCTGCTTTTGGAGCCTATCTTCGAGGTCGTCACAGTAGCACCACAGCACTCTTAATATTCATTGGGGATTCTTTGGGGCCTTCTGGAGTTGTGTGTGAAGTGGGGAGAAGCAAGATTGACGTGCATGTGCCGGAGCAAGAAGACTGTAGATGTAGCACCAAGCCAATGAGACAGCTGTCATCTCCGCTAGGCTGCCTGAGGTTGTAGCCAGATTCTAAACGATGTCTTGCATCGTAGTATCACAAAGCGTTTTTCCCATCCGAACAAATTGGTAGTAGCAAGAAGCTACTAGGGGCTCCTGGCCTTACTACTAGGAGCAAGGACGCTACTAGGGGCTCCTGGCATCGCTACTAGCATAACACCATCACTCTTTCATGCCAGGGCCCATCTGAAATGCTGCCCTCGCTTCGGGTGCGGATGCTTGGCAGACGTGGCAGCCGTTATATTGGCAGTATGGCTTTCAAGCGTTTTGGTAAAGTCTCCGGTTTACGTGCCTCACCAGTCTCGCATAGTCTCGCTATGTTGCTTGAAAATTCCAGGCCAGAAGTTCTGCATTTAATCACGGTGATGCTGCATTGTATGTGAGATCCAGATATGGACTCAAGGACTTTTAACTGGTCCGATTGCCCTTGTGTCGGGTGGAGAAACATGTGAACACCCAGCTCATGTTCATGAGGTCTTCAACAGCTTTCTGGCAGTGGGGCTGGCCTTACTGCGTGGTCTCCGAGTTGTTTTCAACTGCGTGGGCTGAAACTGCGCAGGGATCAAAGAATCCTCAAAAGATCAGGGGTGGTCACCACTTGGATTGATAGCGCAGTATAATTGTGACAATTCTATGACGTTGGGAGCTCGTGGTCATGGGTTCGATCTCAGTGGCACGGTGCCAAACCGCATGATCAAAGACGGTTTCTTGTTTCCTGGTGAATCGACTTCACCATACTTAGCGTCTTTGCTCCTAGTAGTATGGCCAGGAGCCCCTAGTAGCGTTCTTGTTCCTAGTAGCGATGCCCTTTGCTCCTAGTAGCGTCCTTGTTACTACTAGTAAGGCACTTGTTCCTAGTAGCGTTCTTGTTTCACCATACTTGACCCACTTCATCGGCCGGAAATGGACTTCTTCGTAGCTCCAGCCTTCAGAGTCTTAGGTCCAGACGATGCGCAAAGGTCGTCTCGCGGTGCCGCTGGGCGAAACTGTCTGGAATCAGGGGAGTGTTAAGTCATGTTACTTGTAAAGATATGTAAAGGATTGTAAAGGAATCCCTGTGTTATTACTTCCCCAAGGTTCGTCCATTGGTATGATATAATATATATATACATAATATATCAATGAGATGGTCCTCAATTTGCGCGGAAGGCTTCCAGTACCGAGTACTTGCACTCTTGAAAAATCAGCAAATACATATTATACCATATTATATACCCTCAGTAGTAAGTAGCTTCAACAAAATACTTCCAAATCATGTCAGGGATCCATCATTGTCCAGCGAGTCCATCCATCCAGTTGGCCCTCAAAATCTTGGCCCTATCCCAATTCCGGATGGAGGGTCCATAAAGTTGTTCAATACGGAGCAAATGAGCCATATCAGCAATGCCAATGTTTATTCCATTACCATAAGTTCACGCAGAGATTTTAGTCTTTCACTTTTAGACGTGATTAGGCAGGTGTGCCACATGCTGGGATGTCCGCCACATGAAAGAACCGGAACGAGGTCGGCGCTGGGGGAGCCAGCCTCGCCAAGGACTCGGAAACGATTAGGAAGCTACTGCATCCCTTGGTTGTACTTTGCCTGGCTCATTGGTAGAGAGCCCCAAGTAGAAATGACATGTGGGATTGGATGATTCAATGGGAGAAAAGAGGTTGATGATGGAGCATGCCGGGGTATTTTTCTGCCTGCTTTGCAGAAAAATGATCGGCTAATGTTCCAGGATGTCTATTGCTCAATATATAACCTAACGTAGCAACCTCGGCAAGCTCGGAGCATCAGCAACTGCAGTCTTCAGGCTTGCTACAGCCATCGAAAATCAATCCCCTGTCACCACATCAATCACCATAGGATACCGTTCCCAAAAGGAGCATGGCGGCAAGCTATCCTTGTCTTCGTAGCTTTGATGCTTTTAGCCTCTATTCAACCGGCAGGCGGGCTTTGATGTTGGGAGCCTGCTCAAGATACGTGGGAATTAAATTAACTACTACTAGTAGCGATGCACTTGTTACTAGTAGCTTCTTGTTACTACTAGTAAGGCACTTGTTACTAGTAGGCCAATGTTTTTGCCTGAAAAACCTTTAAAAGATAATGTTCTGGCAGAGATTTTGACAACACTTGGCTGACGACTTGATCGATAGTCAATAGTTCACTGTTGGATGCAGAGGTAAACCATGCAGATCTCTCAGGGACTAATTAATCCCCATCCAACCTGATGCCCTGACCTGTGTCTCAGGCTGTGTGCTTTTGCTGGCCATTGCAAGTGCAGGGGCACCCACTCACGGCTATTGGCTCGAGAGCTAGGTCTGAGGGGGCATCCCACATCCAAGACAAACACGCAGAGCCTAGTCTTTAGACATGTAGGCACACAAAGCACACAAAGCATCAACTGGCATTAGATCCGGCTTGCCATTCCCGCATTTCTCTTTTGATATTACTGAACCCAGTCTGTGTTGGGGTCGGGGTCAAACAAAAATCAAACAGGCAAAATTAAGATGGTGTGGGTGAAGCTCAGAGCTTGGTCTCATTTGGGCAACTAAATGCAGAGCAAGGCTTGACTCTCAGCTCATGTTCAATTTGCTGTCCTTTTGAGGCATACAATGCTGATCCCAAGGTTGGGAAGAGCAACTGATTTGACTCGGTTCTACGCTGCAAAAGAAAACATGGAAGTGGCCGCAGTGGCCCTTTCCGAACATGCTGCAAAGGAGACTGGCCTTTGTTTGTCCATGGGACCCTTATATTTGGGGATCAGTTGTGAATGAAGGTGTCTTCCCTGTAGTTGAATGTGGGGTCAAATCTACTTTATTAGCTGTACTGAACCTTGGCAATGAGGATCTAGTGGATCATGTTTGTGTATGATACAGAGAGGCTTTTTGACGATCTGAATTCTGAATGGTTCGCAGCAACGGAGTCCACAATCAGTTGTGTTGGGAGGAGCTTAACTCAGACATGTTTGTTCATTGAGTTGACCAGAATCAATGAGTTCTTCATAGCAGGCACCTGGCTTGGCGTCTGTACTCCTGGGGCCCTACTTGCTGTGTGGAGCTAAAATAGCACTTGCCCACTTGGCAAAGTTGGCACACTCCGACTTGAAAGAGCTGATCCAACCTATGGACTATGACGTCAGATCCACTGCTTGCTCTTCTCCAACGCTAAGGTGTCACTTGCCGTCGATCATTCTGGCTGCTCCTTGGTGAAGCCTAGAAATCTCTTGGCTCTGACATCCCTCAAAGATGGGAACAAAGCCGGCCAAAGAGTCAAAGAGGAACACCGTTTAGAGTGGTCGAGGGTGTCCAAAACTAAAGACCCAAAGGCTGGTGATAGGGCTGGCAGTAGGGGCGTTGACTTGGGATGGACTTGGGGATGCTGAGCTTGGCCTAAAAAAGGGTTCTCACGAAAAAGACTCCCATGTCCCACAGATGGGAAAACCAAGCAGCTTTATGTTTGATTCATTGGCGACTCTTTGCCATGGTTATTGGCCTTGCCATATCTGAAAACCAAAACACACGACAGGAACCACCAGCCAGGCCTGCAAGTGAGGGGGCTCCTCAAAATTGCATATCAATGACTCAAATACTAGCAAGCATTTAAAGATTAAAGTTGCTTTAGCACCGGGTTGTTTACCAACTCTTCTTAGGCACGGAAAAGATTCACTTGAGTGAGAGGGCTAGAGTGGCCACGGGGTCGTCGCATGAGGTTTGGTTGTTGCTGGGGCAGCAGAGAGAAGCCTCGGCACCCCACCTGCAGCTGGGAGCCCAGCCTCAGCCTGCAGTGAGATGTAAACTGTGAAACTGGGCTGTACTTGGCCTGCTACCACCGTGGGCTTCTATGGAATATGATCATCCTGTTCCAGAAAGAGGCAAATGTGGCAAATGCCCAAACAGACCAGCAGCATTTGCAGCATAAGGAAACATCTGGAGTGCTAATCCTTGTTGCCTGTTTTCGGGGGAAGGTATGGACTTGTTGCTGACTCGACCAGCGAAGCTCCCACAGGCGGTCCTTTGACAAAGCCTTCCAGAGCTCTCAGCATGTGGCCTCCTTGTGGGCCGGAGGGCCAAGAGGGCGGGTAGGTCTTGTCCAAACGTCATCAAACGTCGTGGAGTTCGTTTTTGGGGAAGTTTCAGCTTGGAGGCAGCTTGGCCTACCAGCTTGATTGACCGCACCATTGTAGTCATCCATCCATGTCTGGAGATCTGTTCCGCTTCCTTCTATGTGACAATCCTTTTTCATGTCAGTGTATATTATATATAACTATATTTTTTTCTATATATATATATATCGCTTTGGACAAAAGCACGAACCTTACAAGAGCTCTCACCTTCTTTGGTGAGCTACTGCCATCCAGCCATATCCAGCCTTCTTAGAAACGGTAATGCAATCATGCACAAAAACTAGGCACAAGCGCAAGAAATCGCTGAGAAGAAAGATAGCGCTTCTCTTTCGGTTTGGCCAGCTTCTTTGTGTGTAGGCAGTGTACGCTGTTCTCATGACAGTCTTTGGGGCCTTCCAGATCCTTCCAGGACGTTTTGAGCTCCTGCCTTCCGCCCAGGCTGACTCGTGGATTTTGGAGGGCCGCGCAGATCTCCATCCAGGGTTTCGACCGGTACCATGGCATGAATGCCTGGCCATAGTCCACCAAACTGGACAACGGGTACTTAGTCGGAAATGTGGGTGCAAACACTATTTGAAGCCATGTTGTGTACGGCATGGCTACTTTTGATGCCTGGAGTTTCAGGCAATTCAAGACAGCCACTGTGTTTGCAGCGCCAGTCGTGCTGGGTGATTACATCAGGACTAGCGAAACTATGAAGAACACAATTCATTGTTGTGTCAGAAGTTCGGTGTGATTTGCAGAACCTCTGCGCTTGGACAGCTCCAGAACCCGATTCTGTGTCCGGACAAGCATTGCGGGTTAGCCGGCTAACTTTCCGTGAAAAAGAAAACCCACTGGCCCACTGACTAAGGAAGTAACCATTGCCGTCGCTGTCGCTTGCGGCAGCTGCCAATACAACACAACTGGCGAGATTTAGGGCATCAATTCCCAGCCCATGACTCACGACGTCTCTCGAATAATCTACAGAATTGGTAGTTCTCAATGGTTTTTGGTTCGTCCTGACTTGTTGCACTCATGCAGGCAATGCTAGACTCTTTTTCTCAACCTGCTATCAATATAAAATGTATATAGAGAGGGCTGGTATGGTCTCCCCTGCAGTTGAGGGGATGAGCTACATTGTGGACCATTGAAAGCACTAATATATATATATATACAGTATATACAGATAATACATATATATATATATATAATGCTTTGAAACCTCTCCCTGCTGCAGCCAAGATTCTGACTGGAACGGACCATCCCTCCCTTTTGCCGAACAGCTCCCTCCCAGTGATGTGCTAAGGCCCTTGGCCTCCTTTGTCCTGCAGCCGGGGGCTCCAGTGACATTTTGATCGTTACCGTGCGATTGGTAGGGCTACTGGTAGGGCCATGAAGAGTACATATGACATCATCATCATCATCATCATCATCATCATCATCATCATGATTGAGCACTTGATCGCTTGTCTATGGATATGGACGTGTGATGTGTGCATGCAATCCGCTTGGAACATCATGCAGTTTTTTGATGTTGATCTATCATCGTCAACCCAGAATATATATATATCAAACAGCAACCCAAGCACTAAGCACGGCCTTAAATTACAAGCTCATGTGTGCGTATTTTACACATTGATCCTCTTCAGGATCAATAATTTATATGGGAGTGTACATATATTAAAGTAGGAAGACCTCCCAAAGACCCCCTGGAAGAAGGAAAATAGACCCGTCCCCCTGGGTTGGGGGTCTCCTGATTAAAGTAATTACACACATTTATGCGGCCAATTGAAAAACTCAAAGCCAAGCCATGTGGACCTCCCAAGCATCCATGTTGAAGCGCGGAACTTCTCATTGCCAACTGCGCAAATGTGGACCCATTGAGTGCACGCTCCCCGTGTTGTGACCTGTTGAACTGTATCATTTGGCCAATTCGGAGCAAGAAGTCGCACCTTCAAGCCAGCAAATGTGTAGATGGTTGCGTTCAGGAAGTGGCTGGGGGGCAATGAGATGGAGATATCAGATTCCATTAACTAAGTAACTAACTGTTGTTTGTATCTTAAAACAACGTAAAACAATTAGATTCAGCTACTACTGCCGATCCATCATGATTGTGAATGCCTTGCTCACCTTTACTGTTTCAAGCTTTAGCGGGCACTAGGGTCCCAGTCCCAGGCAGCCTTGTCTTGCTGCATGGCAGGTCGAGGCCATCCCTTTGATCGTTTCGAGACGTTGAAAAGCTTTGCGTTTGAACAGGTCGAGTGACGGATTGGTGGATGATGGGCCCACATGGGCCCACCTGAAATCATCCAAGGGGCAACGAACACCAAGTATCAGGGAGCAGACACCACGTGACCTGGCCGGAGCAAAATAGGGAAGAACAAGGACAATAAAATCGCCTAGAACCATACAGATGAATTCCAAGATTCCAACTCCATCCCAATTCAACAAAACAAAGTATATACCTGGTCCGGACCCTGACGGTGCACCGGTGGAGTGTCCAGATGTCACCGAAGAGGGTGAGAGAGCAATCGCCACAACAAGAGGCGCTGTGAGTTCGGTCGGCTTTGCAGCGCTAATGTCCGGCCTCCCAGAGCTGGAGTGCAGCGCTACTAGTAACAAGTGCAGCGCTACTAGTAGCAAGAAGCTACTACTACTAGTAGCTATTTGCTACTAGTAGTAATGCCCTTGTGCAAACCATTAAAAAAGAACCGGCTATCCAGTCGATTCAAGCTGCCAGACATCAGGAGAAACATCCCGCCGATACAGTTGGAGCATACACAGTTGACATGGTGGGCGTCCAAACAAAATGAATAGACCTGCTTCATCCTACTTGCTGGTCTGATTGTCCTATGCCAAACTTGTGGTTGAACCTGGTCAGAACAATTGGATGCGTTTGACAGGTACGTGACCAATTGATGGGAATGTGTTTATATGTGTGCTTCAGATTTATGATGAGAGGGACGTGTTGCTGCTGCTCAGTGGCCCCCCACTTATAATTACCTGATCTATGCAGAACACCTGCTTGCTAAGGCTAATGATATCGGTGGCGGTGACCATTTATGCCGCAACTTCTTCCAGCCGCCACTCAGCAGCGCTTTGAAAGCTCCGCCTTCCGACCATTTGATGATTTCACGAACCGCATGCTCACGCTTGGGGACATGCTAGGCAATCCTTTTTTCATACCGCGGTGACATAGCGGTGTGATTCACGTTCCACTAGAACGGGTGACATACGGCGATGGAAGTTGGAAGAACAGCTTGAGGTATGACGCACCTTTGTGGCTATGTTTTTGTTAAAAGGACGTTGATAGGTAGAGCTAATCGCTCTTAGAAACAAACTGGCAGTCGCACCATGGCATCGCACACCATCAACTCTTTGGCGTTTCAACTAGTAGCGTCCTTGCTCCTAGTAGTAAGGCCAGGAGCCCCTAGTAGCTTCTTGTTACTAGTAGCGATGCCAGGAGCCCCTAGTAGCGTCCTTGCTCCTAGTAGCGGCTTGTTGACGGACACTCACACTCAGGTTTGTGGTGGGCATGCCAGTCCAGCACTCGGCTGATGTGAAAGACGCTGGTCGGGTCTGACAAAGGGCCAGAGCCAAGATTCGAGTATGTTGGCATACCAGCACAGCTCGGTGTTGTCAAGATCCAACTGATGTTGGATGGGTCAATTCATAAGAAAACCATGACATCCGACGATCAATAGGGTGAATGTGTTGCAGCTTCCGGCTGTCGTGGTGGGCTGGGTCCTCCAAAATGCTGACACGAATCATTGATTAAGGTCATGCAACAAATATCAATACAGTAAATTTTAAATATGTCTATGTGGAATGGCCGGACAGGAGAGCCACAAAGTATTGAGCCACCAGGGTTGATCTTTCCGATTTTTCCTCAGCACATGTCACACGTCCACGTTCATCCCATCTATCTTTCAGTTTAAAAAACAGAGACCTTGCGTCACAAAGAACCAGTGGAGCCATGTTCCTTCCTCCCTGAGGCCGGTCTTAGCAGCGCCTGGGTTCCCAGAAGCCTGCACCCGCTGAAAAGAAGGCTTTGGTGAGGAACAAACAGGAGTTGATCAAGCAGTTCCGCCGACAGCGACGATGTCGTCACACGTGTTTTGTTGGCATGGCATGTACTAGCGGCATGTACTGTACAATGTGTACGTCCAAAGTGTTTGAGCTCGCCTCCAAAGAAATGAGATGCAAGGTTCCGTCACATTCCGGCATGTGCACTTCGGTACATTCTGGCATTTTCGGTTCACACTGCAGATCGGCTCCTCGTGGATCAATCTCCAGTTCCACCCCGGTCGTCCGAAAGTGCAAATGAACGTAAATTAAAAATTACACCACCGTAGACCCCAAACAGGTGGGACAACAACGAAGCATTCCCAAGTCCACATTTTGAGACATCAACAAGAAGGGAGACAAAAGGAAACAGAAGGGAGACAAGACGGACACAATGGCCAACAAGAAGGAAGACAAGAAGGGAGACAAAAGGAAACAGAAGGGAGACAAGACGGACACAGTGCCCAACAAGAAGGGAGACAAAAGGAAATAGAAGGGAGACAAGACGCACACAATGACCAATGACAAACAAGAACGGAGACAAGAAGGGAGACAAAAGAAATAAAAGAAAACAGAAGGGAGACAAGACGGACACAATGACCACCAAGAGGGAAACAAGAAGGGAGACAGAGGGAGACAAGAAGGGAGATAAGACGGACACAGTGACCAACAAGAAGGGAGACAAGAAGGGAGACAAAAGGAAGCAGAGGGGAGACAAGACGGACACAGTGACCGACAAGAACGGAGACAAGAAGGGAGACAAAAAGAAACAGAAGGGAGACAAGACGGACACAGTGACCAACAAGAAGGGAGACAAGACCGGAGACAAAGGCAGACAGAAGGCAGACAAGGCGGACACAATGACCAACAAGAAGGGAGAGGCGGACACAGGGATACAAAAGATAACAGAAGGGAGACAAGACGGACACAATGATCAACAAGAAGGGCGACAAGAAGGGAGACAAAAGGAAACAGAAGGGAGAAAAAAGCAAAAGAAGGGAAACAAGACGGACACAGTGACCCACAAGAAGGGAGACAAGACCGGAGACAAAGAAGGAATGAAGGGAGACAAGGCGGACACAGTGACCAACAAGAAGGGAGACAAAAGGAGACAGAAGGGAGACAAGACGGACAACAAGAAGGGAGGACAAGACGGGAGGCAAGAAGGGAAGACAAGACGGACACACTTGAGAGCCCCTAACAGTAACCTGTTTGGGGAAGTACAGAAATCACCTGGGAGACACATGAATAGAAATGCTGCATGGCAGCGGAAAAGGGCGGACACCAGCAGTGCAGGCACCGAGCCTTGGGATACACAAGTAAAGAAATCATTTTTGAGACAAATGAATTGAAATGCCGCATGGGCAGCGGAAAAGGGCAGACACATCTCAAGAAAGAATTAGGAACCCCAAACAGTAAGATACATAGCCAGCGGAAAAGAGTGACGGACCTGGGAGACAAATGAATAGAAATGCTGCATGGCCAGCGGAACAGGGCGGACAGCAGTGACATACCTGGGAGACAAATGAAAAGAAATGCTACATGGCCAGCGGAAAAGGCCGGACACCAGCGGTGACAGACCTGGGAGACAAATGAATTGAATAGAAATGCTACATGACCAGCGGAATGACAGAGTTGGGAGACAAATGAAGAGAAATGCCACATGGACAGCGGAAAAGGGCGGACACCACCAGTGACAGAACTGAGAGACAAATGAATAGAAATGCTACATGGCCAACGGAACCACCAGTGACAGACCTGGGAGACAAATGAATAGAAATGCTACATGGCCAGCAGAAAAGGGCAGCCAGC